ATTTTTGAGGAGCAAAGTATATGATCTCTACGATGACAAAAACGTTCAAACACTATCATTCCTTCATCTATATTTTTCTAAAGCCTTTGATAAAGTTCCTCATAGTATCCTAATTGCTAAACTACGGAACATAGGTCTAGGCATTCATTCAAATACAAGACATAAAACAAGACTATCTAAAAGATAGAATGCAATTTGTGAAAATCAAAAAAAATCATCAACTCTGAAAGAAGTAACTAGTGGTGTACCACAGAGCTGAATTCTTGGCACTCTACTTTTTATCAAATTCATTAACAACTTTCCCAGATGGATTGAGAATTCGGATTGTTTTGGCTATTGTGACGATATGAAGATCTTGTCTACTGACGAAATTCATCTGCAAAAAGACACGAAAAATGTTCAATAATGGTGCAAAGAAAATAAAATGCCGCTGAATGAAGAAAAATATAATCTGTTAAACCTCAAAGGGAAAATGGAAGTTACACTATTTAATACTATTGTTGATACCGCAAAGGCCCAAAAAGACTTAGGTATTTTAATGTGTGACAACCTTTCGTGGTCAGTAAATGCTGAAAATTGCATATCAACAGCAATGCGAGCTTTTTACAAAATCAAACGGAATATCTCGAAAAAAAAACATCATTTAAGTCAAAATTAAACTTAAACTGTGGATACATTGTACCAATCATAAGGTATGCACCGCAAACATGGTATCCGAACAAAGCAGAATTAGGACAACTAGAAAGAGTACAAAAACGAGCGACTTCTTGCATTACAAATAACTTCAAAATTGTGACATTCGACCAGAATGGCCAAAATGCAATCTCTGCAGAATTCGGAATTTTAGCAGTAAGCCTTCCGGATTGGTGGTTTTTAAGAACTAAGGGCGTTATTGGAACGTTTAGCCAAACGGTGAAGGCTGGAATATTCTAGTATTTTAAAATTTCAAAAATTCGAATGATGACGTCACATTTCTGAGAAATGCTGAAACGGCCATTTTTAACAAAAACGAGTGAAAAAACAGAACAACAACGTTGGTTGCGCTGACGAGAACAACTTGATCGAAATTGAAGAAGTCGAAATTGAAGAAAAGCAGCAGCAGAGTGCAGAGAACGTTCCGAGTTGCAACTATTGTGCTGCTACAATAGTTGCAAGGCCGTTGCGAACAACGGTGAAGGGTAAGAAATCAGCCCTCCGTGTTATCGTGAATTCGAACTTAAGGAGCTTGATTCACTGGATTCAAGAATCCGGAAGGGTCTCGGGACGGAAAACTTTTATTGACTCATATGAACTTTTAGCATCCTGTCATGTCCTGACTTGAATTTAATTGATATTTGGATTAGTTTTGACAAGGATGAGGTGCTAAGAGTTGGGGAGGAAAGGGTTGATCCATCTTCGATGGAGATGATGATTTTTATCTACTGAACAAAAACAATAGTAATATAATAAGTAGTAGCCCTGTTTTTAGGAGTGACCTCGTGGTCTGGGGATACTGAGACCCAGCCATGAGCTCACTATTTTTGCATGTAATTCAGTTAATTTGAGCGTTCTGGTCGAAGCCGGAGAACAGTAACGTTTTTGTCTACCCGATGTTAGAAGAGACCACCGAAAAGTACTGGCTTGGTAGAGACGGTGAAAAACATACAAAGCTCTGTTTAGACGCTAGCCAGTCGTCTTAAGACTTAGTTTTGTTATCCGTCGAGATGTATCTTCCGGGCGAATGTTACAAATGAGTGATTCTGAGAGACTGAAATTTTTAAAGCTCCTTCCACTCTCAATGTACTTTGAATTACACGACATATTGTGCTTAGTTTCACTACTAAAAAATAAACATGACCTTGATTTGAATACAATTATTCATAAAAACGAATCACGAACGAGACAAGCAACACGTGGTGAGATTGCTGTTCATGCAACAAGACTGAAAAAGTCAAATGAAAATTATTATATACGTTCTAATACGCTATACAACTACTTTAGCCAAATTGTGGTCTTCGAAAATCAAGATTATGACAGCCTGAAAATATCTCTAACAAACACGTATTGGAAATTCTTCAACAGAAATTTTGCAGAAAACAACTTGTGTATGTGGAGAATTCTTTGCTGGTGTGGAAACTGCAACCCACCCAGGGATATCGATTCGAATCCGAGTATTCGACCCGAATACCGAGTATTCGGCACTTCGAAGCCGAATCCGAATATTAAAATTTTGAAATCCGAATATCGAATCCGAATATTTTTTTTTTTTGCCGAATACCGAATAATCCAGGGTCCACTGCTAAAAAACCCGAATATTCCGAATATTGGTTTACTGTTTCGTTTCACAATATTTTTCTGTTTTTTTTAAGATGGCTAATGTAGAAGAGTCTGAAAAGAAAAAGGAGTGGCAAAATATCCGAATAGTTGTTCGAGTATTAACATTTGGCCGAAGCCGAATCCGAATAGTAAGGGCACTATTCGGCCGAAGTCGAATATCGAATAGTTGGGCCGCGGCGAATAACGAATATCAAAAAATCCGAGTATTCGACATCCCTGAACCCACCGGGAAAAATTATGAACTTTTAAACGAGGGTTCAAAACCCATGGAGAAATCCTAAAGCCTACCCTACTACTACTACTACTACTACTTCTACTACTACTACTACTTATTTATTTACTGAAGTTTTTTGATTAATTACTGGATGGGCGAAAAAATTTAACTTACCAGACTGCTGAAAAGAAGTTCTTCCCTGATATTTGAAAGAAAATGTTTCGTTATCAAAGTTGTCGCACTTTTTCTTGATATCTAATTCCATGAAAGGAAAGCTGTTACATAAAAATTCTACCATTGGAATTTTTTAGCTTAGTTTGAAAAACAAATAAGACATTTTATTCATTCGCGTAAAAGCAGCTCTGGGAACACGGCTCTGTGGGTACGCACCTCTTTTAGCGCTTTCTTTAAAACAAAATGAAGTCTGTTGTCAAGTAAGCGTATTCTTTAAAATCTTCAGGTTTTAAATTTCTAAACTAGTATGTACAAAGTGATCAGGTTTTAAATTCTTCCTGTGTTAAAATCTTCAGGTTTTAAATTTCTAAACTAGTATGTACAAAGTGATCAGAGATCATAGAAAGTGTGATACACGTCCTTAATTCAGAATTTCAAAAAATTATTGATCAAAACATCGCGAACTTTACTAAAATTAAGACAGTTTTCATGTAAACATTTTTTAAAACATCAGCAAACATTTGAGAAATTTAAGTCTTTGAAAACTTTTTTATGCGTATTCTACTCGTAATATGGAATGCACTTATTTTTCCGATCATTGAAATTGGGGAGGAATTATGTGTTCGGGTGTGTTCTTGTTTCTCTTTTTTTGTTTTCCGCGCAAAATCAGGTGCCATAAATAATCATCAGAAAGTGTCAAGTGATATATCATTTGCGAGCCCTTTCAGTCGCGATTCGTACTACGTTGAAAAATTTCGAAAAAAGAAATTCTCACTGTCGAGAAAAACCCGTTCGGAAAACAAGTCGGAACAATGTTGAATTAAAAACGTTCAGTTCAAAATGTTCAAAACTGCCATCATCAGTTATCTAGAACAAGGAAAATTTTTTTGATTAAAAAAAATCCACAAAACAAGGACATGAAAAAGGCTTAAAAATCAATAACTTAGTAAACTGCACAAAGAGAGTAAAACAGCTGGTGAAAAAACCCACAACTAACAGTTTTTAAAAACATGTACTCATAGCCGCGCTGTGAGGGGGCACTGACTGTACTCCTCGCGTGTATTCAAGACTGGCTTCTTTTGAGCAATATGAAGAGCCTCGAGAGTTAGTAATGTGGTGATGTCATTGACACTTCTCAAGAATTGATACGGAATGTGCGTCTATTCCTGCGTAGTTGTTCAGGTGGGAACCCACTGGCGCACTCGCTCTCGGGTGTTCTGAGAGCGAGTGCGCCTTCAAAAACCCGTTCGAAATTTTTGTTTTTGGTCTAATTCCGAGCAATTTAGGTGAGCGGGGACAGGCTTTAAATAGCTTATATATGCTTGAAATAAACCGTGAAAACTTAGTTACCGGTTATCCTTGTTTTCTAAGCTTTAGTTCAGATCCGCTCATAACCGAACGAACATAAAACTAATGTTTCCAATAATGTTCGTTTTTTTTTGGGATTTGAATTGCTAATTGCAGCAAATGGCTATTGTTAATTTTCCGACTATTCCGATGATTATTTGCGGGAAAAATGGGCGGGAATTTGGTGTTCGAGTGGTTTTTTTTGTCATTCTTGTTTTGTTTTCACGCAAAGTCAGGTACCACAAATAGTCATCGGAATGGGTCAAGTGACTTGCCAATTTGAAGCTTTTTAGCCGTGATTTGAACGATTTTGAAGAATTTCTGAACGTTTTTCCAGTATCGAGAAAAACTGATTTGAAGTTTTTGATTTTCAGTTCAATTTCGAGCGAATAAAGCGAGCGAGCAGTCTTACAGTATCTTAATTATGATTAATTTAAGCCCTGTAAACTTTGTTTTAAGCCAGTAGAATTAATTCTTGGAGATCTATAGCGCCATTTTAGAAATCAAATACTTCTGCAAAAATGTTTGAAAAAGAAGCATAGATTTTTTGTATTTTTTGGTTTTCTTCATTTTTCTCGAAAAACTTGTCCATTTTGCCTTTTTTATTATGACTGTCGAAGTTGCCTAAGTTCTAGTTTCTTCGTTCTTGTGAGGTTTCCTCATCACGTTAGATTTTCAACAATGGTGCTACTTCGCGTTCCTGGTTGCTTTTATTTGATTTTTGATGTGTTGTTAAATTTGCACATGTTTCACAGTTAAATGCTGATGATGACTTATACTCGAGAACGTTTCATGCAAAAAACGTTGATTCCTATTGGTTTCCTCCTTCTATTAAAAACGTTTTTAGTATTTTTCTAAGACTATGGTCGGAACATTCTGTAGTACTTGCACACTAACCGGCTATCCTTGTTAATATTTGGATAGTCAGTTTCTGAATGATCTGTTTTTCAGAAAAATGAAATTGAAAAAATGTCTTTTTTTAGTTGCTGCTCCCGGTAGTGGAAAATCTACAATTGCAAAGCGAATTGAAAGAGAATTCGGTTTTTCCCATGTGTCTTCGGGAAATATTTTGCGAGCCCAAGTTGCAACTGGTTCTAAACTAGGTCTGCAAGTGGAGAGGATCATCCGTGATGGGACTCTTGTTGATGATGATCTAGCAATGCAAGTTCTTGAAGCATCACTTAATGAAATGGATCTTTCGTGAGTCAGTTAGTTACTTGTTTATATTTCCATCAGCTCCAGAAAAGTTACACCGAACTTTTCAAAGGTCCTTCAACGGGTTGCTTCTTGACGGGATTCCAAGGACCCTATATCAAGTGCAAATGTTTGAGAAGATGTACACCTCGCCAGATCTAGTGGTTAACGTTGACGTTCCATTCTTTGAAATTGTTCAGCGATTGAGCAATAGGCTGACTCACTTGCCAAGTGGGCGAGTATATAATTTGGATTTCGAGCCTCCAAAAGTACCTGGAATCGACGATGTAACTGGTAAGTATTCGCTTTTTTTATCTAGCAGACGAAATTAGTTTGTTTGTAACTCGTAAAATTCGTTGCGGACTTTGGTGCTGTTAAATCTCACAAATATAAAATCTAGGGCCGGTTTGTGCGTAATCATTTTTATACCTTTATTTGGTAACGTCCGGATCAATGAGACTGAAAATTGTCGTAGTAATAAATAAACACATGGTTCCAAAAATTTTGTGCTTCGTTATTGAAAAAAATAACGAAGCAATTTTGAAAAGGCTCTGATTTAATGCATTGCCTTACACGCGGCCAGAATATTTGTTGCTTGGAAAATGGAAATAGAATCATACGTTCAATTCGACAAAATGTGCGAACCAGCGCGCAGCAAGCAAGACTTGTTATATAAGTATAATTTGAGAAGTATAATTTGAAGAAAAATTGTTTATTTTTTTTGTTATTTTTTTTGTTATTTTCTACAGGCGAAGAACTAGTCTTGCGTTCTGACGACAAACCTGAGGTAGTAACCCAAAGATTGGAAAACTACGAAGCTATCACGAAACCCATTTTGGATTATTATCGGGAGAAGAATCTCGTTCACTCATTTAGAGGAACTGAAACAAATGTCATTTGGCCAGAAATTCAAAAATTTTTGAGCGGACATTTTCTGTCTAAATAATTTAAAATTGTTGAACCATATTCTAGATTTAGATTCCTGCTCATCAACATTCTTAGATAGAAAGATACTCAAACTGTTGTTTATCTTTTAAACATATTTTATTGCTATTTATCCGTTTGGTTTAATCAAATTATTCTCCTGATTTAAAGAAAGTATCTATGATAAAATAAGTTTTTTAATTTTAACGATTTTCAGATTAAGCATGTTGAAACCCAGTTTGCTGACAAGTACGTCTAAATATGGCTGTAGACTTTGCAGTTTACCCCGTTTGAACTCTTCAAGTGCCAATAAAACAGTACGATCTGCTATTAGATATTACGTCACAACTCCGACTGGCGCCATCGCTTCCAGGCCTAGCCGGTTGCCGTTTGGCGTTCTTTGGGTAAGATCATCATAGTTCTATTCTACACTAGTGGCAAAGTTAAACGAAAATTCAAATTTTTACTCTCTAAAATGCTTGTTTTCATGGTCGTTTTTCGACAACACTTTCTTCGAAATTTACATAAACCAAGAGCAAATGATCAGAAATTTACATAGACCAACAGAACAGCAAATCAGAGCTACCTTCTATGAATCTATCAATATTTGATTTCAAATGATTACCCAAGTAATCCGAGTCTGAAAAAGCCAGTTTTGCTCATCTGCGCTAAGTTTAGCATCGCAGTGAACTCTTTCTCGAACATGGGTAGTAAAAAAGTTGTTCATGCAACGTGAAGCATTCTCAGCGAGAAAATTAAAACAATCAGTGTGAAAATTATAATTAACTCGGCTGTTTCTTGCTCTTTCACGCGGATTGAAGAACTTAGTAAAGATGAGGAAAACTGGCTTTTTCAGACCCGGATTACAATGGTGAGTCATTCAAATCAAATGTTTCATAGAGGGTAGCTCTGATCACTTGTTCTTGATTTTAATGAAGTTCGAAGTAAATGTTCAAAATGGACATTGGAAACATGCGTTTTAAAAAGTAAAAACCTGATTTTGCGGATAACTTTGCCCTGAAGTGTGAAACTGATTTTTAAGTGTAGAAGAACGAAAGAATTTTCTTTTATATACGGCTTGATGATTTTTTTTCAGAAAAAAACTTCAAATTTTCAAATTTTCTAAAAACTACAGCAGTGCATTCACATGTATTAATGCATTCATGAATGCACTTATGTGTATAATGCACTTTTTATGAGTTTAATTCAAATTTATCTACTTGAAGTTAGGTAAATTGTGCTTTCCAATTACAAAAGCAAAAATGGCGAAAAAAACGTGGAAGACTTTTAGTTTCGAAATTGGATGATAATTTTTTCTAAAGATTTCTCAGCGGAATCAAAAAGTTTATTCATTGATTCAGTGTTCTTAAATCATAAACTTTTCTTGAATATCAAAGAAATAAATTTTGGTTGATTATTTTTATAGATTGGATGATAATTTGGATGATATCGAGAAAACTTGGCATAATATTTCTTCCAACATTTTTTATCAATTTTTTTCGGACTCCTTGTTATTTTTCATTTTTGCAACCCTTTGTTTAGGGGCGGATCTAGGATTTTCTTGAGGGGGGTTAAAGAGAATTTCGTCGAACTTTTTGTAACTCGATCAAATCGATTTTTCTATTTTCTAGCTCTCCCAAAGCACTAAAAAGACCCTGTTTTGGCCAAGTTTGAATTTTGAACAAAAAAATTGTTTTATTTCGGCGTGCGCTCTCCCTCAAAATTAGTATATAATGGCGCCAAAGGGGCCTTTGATAAAGTTTTTGTCAGCCAGTCAGCCAAAAATGGATTTTACCGCTGCTATCATGATTTTGATAATTTTACCGAGTGCGTCCTTTCATTAATTTTTTACCCTTGCGATAAGCATGGGTTTTGCTATCGGGTACTAGACTTTTCCCGTAAATAACTTTGTTCACAAAATGGTCAAAATTAGAAATGCTAAGTTATGGTTCAGTTAATAATGAATTTTAATTTCTGTGCGCTTTCGGCACACTGAGCTTGGAGGCAACGAATGCGCCTGGGACGCAAAGGTCCTGGGTTCGAATCTGACAGGACCTGTTTTTTTTTCAAAAGGGAAATAGTCCGTTTGAAAAAAATGGTCAAAATGGACAAAATGGTCAAAATTAGAAATGCTAAGTTATGGTTCAGTTAATAATGAATTTTAATTTCTGTGCGCTTTCGGCACACTGAGCTTGGAGGCAACGAATGCGCCTGGGACGCAAAGGTCCTGGGTTCGAATCTGACAGGACCTGTTTTTTTTCAAAAGGGAAATAGTCCGTTTGAAAAAAATGTCGGCTAATTATTGTCTGCTCATGTTTTGTCGGCTTAGTTGCCATATTGTATTATTGTTTTTTTTGAAGTTTTTACACTATAGATGCTTTTAGTGCTCTGATCTTCCTCTGTTGATTGTAATTATGCTAACCTTGACTTCGTGTATAAACATATTTTTTCGCTCAAAAACTTTATTCTGCCCAAATGATTTCGGTCTATTTTTTATCGGCATAGTGGCCTAATTTCGAGTTGTTTCAATGAAAACATATTTTTAATGCTCACTTCTGAATCGCACGAAATAACAAAAAATCCTAATAGAAATTAGAGTTCAAGTTTTTGTGACAACAATTTTTTTTCGGCATTTCTGTGTTTGTTTCGGATTGTTAGGTATCATGAATTATATCGGCTTAGTGGCCTCATATTCCGTCTCTCGACGAAGGAAAAAAATCAGTGTGAGCGTGTCTGTGTTTTGAGGGCGTGGGGTACTTAATAATTTTTTATGAGTCTTAAATTTTTTTTGATTTTTTCGGATTTTTTTTGTTTTCCTTTTTTAAGGCTTAATAGGTTTCGGCCTGTATTATATCACCTTAGTGGCCTCATATTGTGTCAATTGGCTAGTTTTGGCATTTTCCAGTTCCCCCTTCTAATTTTTCTGAAGTTCAATGTACAAAAATCGATTTAAATTGATTTATCTTGACAAAAACTGCATTACAACGTGTCAGCGTGAACAGGTGAACAAATTTTTACATTTCTTATATGCAAAACGCCCTGAGAACAATTTTTGAATATATATTTTTTTGTAGTTTTACGAGGGGGTGGGAAACTGGAAAAGAGCCGAAGTTTTTGAGTGTTCGTTTGTTTCGAGGTTGAGGGTGAATTATTGTTCCGACTTTTGATACGAAAGTAACGGAATATTTGTGCTCGGGTGGGTTTTTTTCTTCAGACAAATTTCGATTTTTTGACGGATTTTTTAAATATCATTCAAAAGGGATTATTGTCTTGTGCTTAAATTTGAAAAGATACTTCAGCTGTGATCATTTTTCGTAAAGTTATTTGGGTGTAAAGATTGTCATTTTGGCCAATTTGAGACAAATAACGCGCGATATATTTAGCGCTATTCACGCGTAAGCGAGATTTAATCCGTCTTAGAAATCGTTTCAAATTGGTTCAAGGAAGCTTATATGCCATAATTGATTGGTTGATAGGAGCAAAATTTATCACTTTGTGACTTGTGGGGGGATGTTTCTACAAAAAAATCTCAAATTAAAAAAAAAATTATTTTATTTTTTACCTTTAAATTTTCATGTTACTTCTGCTTCATAGACCTTAAAAGGCAGTCGGAACACATTCAGGGCCTCGCCCTGATACGAGCATTTTGTTAACTTTTCAATCTTGTTGATTTTTTTCGGCCTAATGAGTTTCTGACAAGTATTTTTGAGTTTGTTGCCGCCGGGTATTTTATCTTACGATGCTAATTTATTATTTTGTCTTGGCATGTTTCTGTTTCAAAACTAGCCTTATTAGTTTTGATAGATTTATAATATAAGGTTTTTCCGATAATTTCAAATGTTTCACTTTTTTCTTGTTCTGTATCGCTAGTGGTGCAAAGCTCAGCTTCGCCCCTGTGTTATTTAATTCCAGGTATCTATTATATATTTAAATGCGGGCTTCAGTATCTCGCCATGTTTAAGCTTATTCAACATATTATTTTTGCATGTTTAAGCAATATCGTATATTGCAATGGTTAATAATTTTTTTTTTCGATTTTCCAATTTGATTTTAGTGGTTATTTTATCGAGTTTAAATTAAGCAGCCCAACATCGAATTAGGGGTTGCGAGTTTGGCCTCCAATTTTGAATGCCCGAATCATTTTAGTTAACGAGATCAGACGATTTTTGTAGTTAATGCTGTCAGATTACTCTAAGGAGTTATAAATCTTGCCTCCAAATATGACTGTTCAAATCCTTGTAGTTTTCGAGATATGACGTTTTTTGTGATTTTTTTTCAAAAAACTTTCAGAAAACTTATATTAAATTTTTTTCCGCAAAATCTGAAATTCCCAACCCTGTAGCTGGGTCTTGTCAGATTATTCTCAAAGATTGCGAATCTTGCCTCCAAATATGACTGCTCAATTCTTTGTAGTTTTCGAGATATGATGTTTTTTGTGATTTTTTCAAAAATTTTCAGAAAACTTAGATTATTTGTTTTAAAATCTCAAATTCGCAACGCTGTAGTTGGGTCCTGTCAGAGTATTCTCAAAGATTGCGAATCTTGCCTCCAAATATGATTGCTCAATTCTTTGTAGTTTTCGAGATATGACGTTTTTTGTGATTTTTTCAAAAAATTTTCAGAAAACTTATATTAAATTTTTTTCCGCAAAATGTGAAATTCCCAACCCTGTAGTTGGGTCCTGTCAGAGTATTCTCAAAGATTGCGAATCTTGCCTCCTAATATGACTGCTCAATTCTTTGTAGTTTTCGAGATATTTTAAAAATCTGAAATTCCCAACCCTGTAGTTGGGTCCTGTCAGAGTAATCTCAAAGGTTGCGAATCTTGCCTCCAAATATGACTGCTCAACTCTTTGTAGTTTTCGAGATATGACGTTTTTTGTGATTTTTTCAAAAATTTCAGAAATCTTCAGAAAGTTTAAATTAATTATTTTTCAAAATTTGAAATTTCCAACGCTATAGTTCGGTGTTGTCAGGTTACTCTAAAGAGTTGCGAATCTTGCCACATGCGACTGCTAAACGCGTTTGCTCAAACGCTTTTAGTTTCCGAGATTTGACGTTTTTTCGATTTTTTCAAAATTTCTCGAAGAACTTATCTACACAGAAATTCAAAAAATTTGAAACTACTAACTTGATGAAGATACAACCTTATTGTCAGCGTACACCCAGGCGTCTCAAATCTTGCCTCTTAATATGAATGCTCAAATCCTTTTAGTTTCCGAGATAAGACGTTTTTTTTTTCTTTTTTTTTCGGGAAACTTAGTTTAAAAAAGTTCACAAAATTTTGGATTCTTAACCCTATAGTAGGGTTCTCTCAGGGACTCTCAGTGGTTGCAAATCTGGCCGCCAAATTTCTACAGAGGCCCATTAAGTTTTCGAGATGACGCTTTTAAAATGGGAATTAAAAAAATTTAAGGTTCGAAATTACCAACCCTGTAATTGGGTGCAGTCAGAGTACACTAAAAGTTTGCAGATGTTGTTTCCAATGTATGCGGTTTTTCATGAGCTGTCGAAAAATTTCGAAGCACCGAAGGTGCGTTAAACGCTAGTATTATTTAAGTGAATATATACTATAGGCAGTTCTGGGATCCTTTTTGGCTATGATTTTGAAAAACATGATTTCTTTACCCAGTCTATTTTGATACCTTCGACTATTTGATACGGTAGGTTATAACATTATTGCAGTCTCCAGTTTTTATGAAACTTTCAACCGTTCAAAGAAGATTCGCCCAACAACTGTACAGAAAAAAGTTTAAACAATGATAATCGAAACTCTTGTCTTGAATGATAAACTTTAATTTTGAAGGTGTTATCTATCTATTTGTAATTATTGCGCAAATTATCACTTTTTATGATAATAAAGTTTTTGTGTTAGGTGATTGGCTCTTTCACTCCGCTCATTTACCTCGGGGGATTAGTAAGCAAAGAAGGGGCTGCCTTCTTAGAAGAGAAAGAGATCTTCATCCCAGAAGGAGACGAAGACGACGATGACGACTAACCACTATCTACAGTAGACTCTATTTTGTCAAAGCTATGGATAAAATGCAATGTTGCCTTTCAGCTTTAGATTAGATCCTAACGAATCACATTTAAGTATTTTGCTACCATATCACTGCGCTAACCATAATGCTTGTAGATTAACTAACTCTTTCTGTTCTCATGTGTACATAGCGATTAAAACTTGCCGGTCAAATAATCTCGAACTTAAAAGCAATAAAATTATTCCTCCAACGTTTTCTTTTTGTTATGTTTTGACAACCGATCGTACAAGAAATGCTCAAAATGACGTTTGGCTATTAACTTTTAAGTGCTTAGGCAAATAACGCTCTCCGTAAGAAAGGCAAATAACGCTCTTAGATTACGAAAATGCAAAAAGCGCAAAAAAACGAGCGGTTTACAATTTCGAAAGTGGATACTAATGTTTAGATATTTCAGCTGAATAAAAATTATTGAGTTTTCTTTTCTCGTATGTGTTTTTCCCCCATATTTGTTTTTTTTTTTGACAAGATTTCGCGATGATTTTGGCCGCGATTAGTAAGTGCTATTATTTCGGAAAATAGACTGATTCTTATAAACAATGTGTCGAAAAATATCACCGAATCAGTTGCTCAAATCTGCTCTTCGTCAACGAATAGAAATATTTTGAGCACGTTTGTATTTCAAAGACACGTACTATTCATTACATATATATTTTTTTGGTTATAAAATTACCAACTCTGGTTTCGTGTAAGTAGTTTTTTTTGTTTCTTAATATTTTTTGTGTTATCTTGGTTTAAAGGATTTTTCGGTTTTGAGGCATCATATTGCATCATTAGTTGAGCGAAACAAGTTTCCACTGCGTGTGAGTCTTGAGTGGGTAGTTTAATATTGTTTTGAAAATTTCAATGTTTTAATATGAAAACCTTTTTTTTGTCTCAACTGGTGTCAGCGTTGTTACCATTTTGGTTCGATGCAAAAGTTATTTTCAATTGTCTCATTTTCTTCACACAATCGAATCGTAGTGTATTTTTACGAAGAATTTTTTTCCAACCAAAGTCATAATTAAAAGTGCTCATTTGGTGGCATTTGTGCTGTATTTAAATTTAATCATGTTTAAGCCTATTTAAGCATAGGCAATTCAATAGCAAATGTTGTGATTTGTTTTTAGCTAATGTTAGGTCCTGTTTGAAAAAAAAAAACAGGTATTTTGAAAAAGTATGGGATTTTTTGTTGTTTAATGTTTCTTTTTGCGACGCTTCGGAAAGTTTCGCCCTTTTCTCGAAAACTACCATACCAATGGACAAACGGGCTGCTGTTTCATATGCCTGCATGTTTTGCTAGGCTCTTTTCTTTTTACCCCTCGTCTTACTACGGCCTTAGGAAATTTCAGTAGGGAGAGTTTTGACATATTTGTTTTGAATTTTTTCATTTTCTTAATTTGAATGCACAACAATTTTCAGATGAAGGTTTTAATCATAGTACAAATCATAAGGATCTCCCCTTCTTAAGCGTTTATTCCCAAAATCTGGTAGAAAAAAGTTATGGGCTCAGACAAGGCCTTTTAAAAAATTTGAATTTTTTTTTTCGTTAGAAGTTTCACCACTTTTCTCGACTCGAAAACTACTAGCTAAATGTGATATTAAGGCTTCAATCTAGAGTTTTCCCTATATATTAGGCTATTCTCATGCTAGAGAATTAGAAAAAGTAAAACTTCAATTTTTTTAAATCATTTGTTGGAATCTTTTTCACTTTTTTTGAAAACTACCTAGCAAAATCTGAGATAAAAAATTCAATTGAAAGAGCGAGTACTAGTTTTCTTCTTCAAATAAGCAGCTAATCTACTTAAGCAGAGAAATTACTAGGGTTTTTGTAAAGCCTTTTTTTTGAATGTTCGAAAATTAGGAATTTCCGTATCAGTAAAATATATGATTATAAATTTTAGAACAGGTACATCCAGCGTTAGCTGGGCCACTAATTAAGTTACAAGTGACCGTGGCGCAGATGCGAGGATGTGAGTGACACTCCTACTCATCAGGTCGGAGCTTCAAATCCGGAACATTGAAATAAGCTTTTTTTGCTCAAATTTTTGCTGCTTTTTTGGTGACTAGTGTTAGTTAAATTACAAGCGGTCGTGAAGAAGATGTGAGAACGTGATACTCATAATTGATATTAAACATTTTTTCCTCAAAGTGTATTTTTGATCTTTTTCTTTTTTCTCATATCACTTTGTTTTACCTATTTAGAGCTCTCTTTTGTATTTTCCTTGCTTGTATTTGCGAAGCGTAGCTTCGCCTTTGTTTTTTTTTTAAAAAAAGCGAGCTTTTTTCAAGAGAAAGATATGAAAAATTTGGTAGATCTAGCTTTTCTCGACTTTTTTCAACTAAGCGGCATTCGTCTAAATTTTTGACTGCTAAGTTGTCATGGTATGTTTGTTTTATATCGCAATTGTGGGAAGATCTGCTTCATTCAACTGTCTTGTCTGTTGGTAATATTATATTTCGCTGATATTTTCACAAACCTACCAAGAACTTTTTCTTCAGTTAGTTTTTTGGTGCAACGATTTTTTCTTGGCTGGCAGCTCGGTTATTAAGTCGAAACGATATTCAACTATATAAAGCGCATTTTTCTAGATTATTATCAGTTTATCGAAATTGCAACTCTCGCTTGGCAATGTTCTGCTTTTCAGACTGAAATGGCGGCCACGGATTACAAAACAATTTCTGAATTAATCTACTACGGCCGAGTCGAACACTACGGACATATGAAACACGTGGCAAACCACGCCATCGACAAATACGGCCGAGATCCCATTTTAGTGTTCTTCAGAGCATTCGCGAATCTTCTGGAAATAAACCTGCAAGAAGCTATCAGAGATCTGGAGTCCATCAAAAGTGATGAAACGGTTGAGCTATGTAGTTTGATGGCTTTAATTGTGGCATACAAGGAGCAATCGCATACTGACAGAGAAGCGGTATCGGCTCTGGATGAGAAGTTGAAAGAAAGGAGGAAAACAGCTGGAAATGATGCTCTTCGATACGCGGCGCTATTCTTAGCAATATCCAGTCGACCTGACAAAGCGCTCCAATACGCGGACAGAATCATCAAACTTGACTCGCATTCGTACGAAGGTCACGTTTTGAGAGCTTGGTTGTACCTATCTGAAAGCCAGATGAGAAACGACAGAGCAGAAGATTTGAGAAAACGAGCTCAAAAAGATCTGGATACAGCCCAGGAATTGCCTCACGAACCAGCTAACGAATTAGAACTGACTTTAGCTAAGAGTAAATGCTTGGAACTATCCGGTGACTACCAGAAGGCAACCCAAGTGCTGCTGACTTTGAGGCAACCGAATTTTGTGCCTAAATTGAATGAATTAGTAAGATTGGAACTGGCTATGGGAAAATGGGATGCGGTTTACCAGTCTGCAACCGAAATGGCATCCGGAGATGCCAGAGACGCGGAGCTGTTTGCACTCAACTACTCGATTCTCTACAAGATAGTGTACGAAGGAAGTTATACTGAAGCTAGCAATGATATTCGACAGTTCTTTGAAGTGCTGCAGCAGAAAGAAGCGCAGAATGTGAATTTGTACAAGTTCTACTGTCGCCTGTTCAGTACATTATGCGGTCGAAACATGATGATTCTGCGACAGACAAACGCTATAATGCATTCCATTGTTACTTCGTTTGAGAAGAACTCTTCAAATCTTTTGGAGTATGGCAACCAAATGCTGATGGCTGCTCAAACGTCAGAGGATATTGAAGCTGCTTCGAAAGTGTTCGTCAAAGCATTGGAATGGGATCCGGATAATAGTCGCGCAATGTTGGGATTCAATCATTGCAAGGTTCTGCTGGGAAAAGCCAGGGAGTTTGACAAAATTTTCAAAGATTTGGAGCTGCTCAAGGAAACAATGATTGCAACAGCGAACACTTCTGAAGATCAAAGCCTGGTAGCTGAAGTTATGTACATTCAAGCTTTGATTCTCCAACGCAAGAATAAATTTGAAGATGTGGCGTTGCTTCTAAGAAAAGCCTTCGAGACACATCAACAATCATTTGCAAAAGTCTCAATGAGCTGTGAGTATCTGTGCGCACTAAACATCGACCTAAGAATGCAAATAGTGAAATGTTTGGTCAAAAATTTTCCACCGGAACCTATTATTTCAGGACGCCAGGCCCCAATGGCAATGACATTCGCCAAGAATGTCCTCGATACTATTTGCTCAGTAGTTCCAGGGTTGACTGAAGCCAAGTTTTTCCAAGCAAAAATCAAGTACCTAATGGGTGATTCAGATACGGCGTGTAATATCTTGCAAGATTGTATCGACAGAACGAAAGAGGCTGATATGTCTGAGGCTGACATGTTGCTGGCTAGTATTCTGGTCGATATGAATCAGATATCTCGCGCTGAGCAATGTTTGTCAACGGCGTTATCGCTAAACTTCGCCATTAGATCGACTCCATCGTACCATTTGGTCAAAGCTAAGATTCAAGCAAAGTCCAACCAAATGACAGAATGTCGTAAAACTCTGGAAGCGGCTATTAATTTGCCAGGAGTGCGAAAAACAACGTCGAGGCAAGGGTCCGCGGGAGGAAATGCAGGGATCAAAGAGTCGGGAACTATGGTGTCGGATTCCGATAGATTGTCAATATTTTTGGAACTAAGCGAGGCGCTGAGAGCTGAAAATAATATCCACGAAGCGACTAAGATCATGCAAGATGCCATCAATGAGTTCAGAGGTACTAGTGAGGAATCTCGTGTTATGATCGCGAATGCTAACTTGGATCTCTCGCGTGGAGACGTGGAATCAGCACTGGCTAATCTGACCAAAATTGAGTCTGACAAACCCTACTATATCAAGGCAAGAGAGAAAATGGCTGAGATTTATCTGGTACACAGAAAAGACAAGCGACTCTACGCTAGATGTTATAAAGATCTAGCTGATAAACAGCCAAACTCGAGAACCAAAATGCTTCTCGCTGATGCATATCGAAAGATTTTGGAGTACGAAAAAGCTATTCCGGTGTACCAAAGCGCGTACGAAGAAAACAGACATGACGCTCAAATGATTAAGAAAATAGCAGATGCCTTCGTCAAAATGCATTTATATGCCGACGCTATAGATTACTACAAGAGTGCGTACAAGAAGGACTCTTCCTTGAAACATGACCTTGTGAGGTTGTTGATCAGACTTCGATATTACGACGAAGCGCAGAAGATTCTGGATGCCGCAGAACCTCAGGAACAGACTTATGATCTAACAAGACTGATAGATAATTCGAAATGCTTGATGGCAAGAGCCGATATTTGCAGCAAGAAAAAACAATTAGACCAATACGAAGCATACCTCAAAAAAGCACAGGTACAACAGCGAGAAGTTTTACGAAGAGTGAAAAGCGAACAACCTGAATTTAATAATGAGCAGATTGAAATGGCGATCCAAATAGTGAATCAATTGGCCGAACTTGCAATCGACAAAGGCAACTTGGAAGAAGCGATTGAACTCTACGAAAGGGCGGCGAAGTTCAAAGAGAAAACAGGCGATGTGAAATTAAGAATGAAGATCATAAAATTATATTTGCAAGCTGGAAATTTGGACGAATGTGAGACCCAATGTGTGAATTTGATCAAACAAGATCTGGACAACCGTGAAGCTATGTCGATAATGGCCGAACTCATGCTTGCTAAAAATAATCTGGAAGAAGCTTACAAGTACTACACGAAACTTCTGCAACAAGTGCCTAATGATTTCAAAGCTATGATGCAGGCTATAAGGTGTTACAGGTTCATGGGAGACTTGGATTCGGTTCCTAAGTTGTTTGAAAATGCCTCAAAGTTTTCGATTAACTCATCATTGGAGCCGGGATTTGCATTCTGCAAAGGGCTGCATGAGTTATTCTTAGGAAATGCCAACACGGCGTTAAAGGAGTTCAATAAATGTAGGAAAGACAAGTTTTGGGGTCCAAAGGCCCTGAAGTTTATGATAGAAATATGTCTGAATCCTCACAATTCAGTGATGGGATCGATTGAAGATCTGTCGGGTTCTGATGAAGAAATAGCTTCGTTGGACGAAACGGATTCAAACGCGCTTCGAACTGCCGCCAAGTTACTTGCGGAACTGAAAACAGCCAAAGATACTTCCACTGATTATGCATTCCTAGACGCTTACTTGTCTCTTTCGAGCAAACACGCTAGTAACATAAATGATGCAATGTCTAAGTTCAACAATTTAATCGGATCCAAACCAATTCCTGCGTATCTTGGAATCGCGACGGGATATCTTCTGAAAAAAGACAAAGACGGAGCGAGGAACGTCTTGAAGAAAATTGTTCGAGAAGGTACCTGGAACATCGAAGAATCTGAAGAGTTTGAGAAAAGTTATCTTCTTTACACAGACCGAGCGTTGAATGCGGGTAAAACCGAAATAGCTAACGAGACTCTAGAAATGTGTCTGAAGTATAACAAGTCCTGTTTCAAAGCGTATGAATACCAGGGTATGATGTTTGAAAAGGAATCCAGGTACGCAGAGGCGGCGGAAAAGTACGAACTGGCCTGGAAATACTGTTATAAAAATGACCCTCAAATTGGCTACAAGTTGGCTGTAAATTACCTCAAGATGAAACGATACATCGAAGCTATTGATGTATGTCACGTAGTCCTGGAGAAGAATCCAAATTATCCAAAAATACGTAAGGATATTTTGGACAAGGCGAGAAATAATTTCAGAGCGTGATAAAAAAATAGTCATTCGGGGTCATTGCACAAGGACTTATGCGTTTGAGGCAATTTATTTTCAGTGTAAGTGAAAAATAATGTGTTCATATTGTACATAGATGCCATAAAGTTGTGAAAAAATGTAAAATAATCTAATAATTCTTTCTTATTCATCGTACACCTTTAAGCAAATAATAAATTTAATCTGTTTCTCGAAAAATTAGGATTCTAGATTGCCAATATAAGCAAGCTGGATAGATTAGAAAAGCCTTATTTTGACGATTACTCTTTCACTAAACGAGTTGTCTTGTCTTGTCTTGCGAGTTCGTAGGTGTAAACAGGGTTCGAACTCATGAAGCACGGCTATTGTATCAGGGTATAAAAAGTTTTTTTTAGTTAATGATTTTTATAATTGAAATGGAATGGCCAGTGATGTTCGAGCAGCAAGAAATAATCGAAACACAGTAGCTTTTTTAAGATAAAATATTTTAAGATGTTTTTCTTTTTTAATTTTTTCAGATCTTTCAAATTCTATTTTACGCTTGCGGTTAGCGAGATCAAAGCGGAATATGGCTCTTTTTCCTTTCCCCTCCCCCACCTCACACGAGGATCAATTTTATGGTGTAACGAGTGGTTTTACAAGGTTAATTATGAAGACTAAATATGTTTGTCACGGCCTTATTAGTCAGTATGCCAATTTTCATAACAATCGAATAATGTGAACAAATTATTCATTTGTAAAATTTTGCAGGTTGGGGGGAAAAGGAAAAAGAGCCCGGAATATCATTTTTTTCAGGCTAAAATTTTTTAACAAAATCATTCCAAAGTTTCATTTTTTATATCTTCATTTTTTTTGGCGTTTCCAGCACATTTGGACTAGAGGTAGCGACTGCGCAAATGTTCGAATCCGACCAGGTTTTTTTTTTAAAACTGATATCTCAAAACAGTAGTCGGCCTTAGGTTTTTCTGATGCTCTTTCGGCGTAATTTGATTGCCAGACACGTGCTGTGAATGACTTTTATCTGCTTAAGTAATTTTATTACAGTTGCAAGTGTTTATGATCTACTCTGTTATTTATAAATTTTTTGGCTCTGAATTATAGTTTTTTTGACTGTGACTTAATTTTTTTCTCTTAAAACTTAGTCAGCTTAAATGTTGTATCGGCTTACTGACCTATTGTTGCGTCATTTTAGGGTTACATACTTTTTATGCCCCCTCCTCAGCAGTGATGTTCAGTTTAAAAAAAAAAGGTTAAACGATTTTTTAAAACATTAACATATTGGAGTATTATAAACTAAATCTAATTAACAAAATTTGCTTTCAAGCAATGATAAATCAAATTATAAAAACTCGCAAACCTCTTGTAAATGATGTAATATGTAAAGGCAAATGTGATTAGAGTTTTTTCGGACGCTTGCAAAGTTTATTTTTAATTGCCGCAATTGTCGATTGAGAGACAAGGACTGAGTGAAGCTTTGGAATGGCGTGAAAAAAAAGGATTCCTTGGCTTTACTCAGATTTAAATTGCATCTCTGAAAGGCTAATTTATGAGCCAAGATTAATTGGTTTAATTAGGTTTATAGTTAACCAAATCGATTTAAACAATTGGTTATTAGTCAAATCAGTTCAACAAATAATTTAAAAAAAAAATGGTTGAACCAATTGTTTACAAATGGTTATATTGGACAGCACTGCTCCTCAGGAAAAACTAAAGGATGAATTTATTTGAAAGCTCAATTTTTTCATGATAAAAATTTTGTTTTGGGGTTAGCGGGAGTTAACTTTATTTTTGTCGGCTCCGTTACCGCTTGTTAAAAATTCTGAATACTTATTTCACGCCTGCGCAGACAAAGCTATGAAAAAAAATTAATTGTGGTTTTTCCGAATTATTTTTTCCTGTAAAAAACTTCGTCCACAGAATAGTGAAAATCAGAAATGGTAAATTTAGGTTCAGTGGTAATAAATTCAAGTTTCGCTGCGTCTCGGGTACGCTTGTTCTGGCGTTAACGAATACGCCTCAGACGGCAAAGGTCCTGATTTGGAATCTGATAGGGCCTCTTTTTTTAAACTGTAAATATTACGCTTCAAAAAAATTGCTGGCTTCTTATTTGTCTGCTTATGTTTTTTGTCGGCTTAGTTCCAACATCGTATAATTGTTTTTTTTTTGCTGAAAGCAAGTTACATTGTGATCGCTTCAAGTGTTTTGATTTTTTGTTTGTAATTTTACTAGCCTTGACTTATATTTTTTTCGGTTATTTTTATCTTTTAAAAATTTTACTCTGCCCAAATGATTTCGGTTTATATTTTATCGGCTTAGTGTCCTATTCTATCGTCGTTTCAAGGAAAGGTGATTTTAGTGCTCGCCTTTCTATCTTCCAAAATGCTAACAAAATTTATTAGAAATTATAGATTTTCATGACATTTTTTTTTTGGTTTTTGTTTTTTTAACTTTTTTGTCCTATTTTTTTTTGATTTTTTTTCCACATTAATAGATTTTGGCATATTTTATATCGGCTTAGTGGCCTCATATTGTTTCTTATGAGGAGCATTTAAAGTTTTGTGTGTGTTTGATGGTGATTCGTACTTATTAACTTTACTAAAGTCTTAAGTTTCGTTGATATTTTTTGGCTTAAAGGGTTTCTGCGAAGTTGTTTTTGGATCTATTAGCGTCAAATTTTACCTTCCATTCTCATGGCGTTTTTTTTTCTATAACTAGTCTTGTTTACTTTGATAGATCAAGTTTCTTCGACATTTTCGATTTTTTTCCGACTGCGTCTTTCTTGATTTGTATACTATAAGATTGATTGTATTCTAAGATTCTTGAAATTGAGAGATTAATATTCAAGTTAATTGTGATATATTTTTTGTCGAAATACGAAAGTTGATAATGTACAATATATAATATCAGTTTTTTTTTTCAAGTGTACATGAACATAGTGAAAATACTTGTATAGCTCGCGATAATTATTTTTCCATTTTTGTTTAACCAATTTTGCTTTTATGCAAATTATAAAAATTTTCAAACCACTTGTAAATGATGCATCTTGTAAAGGCAAACGATATAGTTTTTTCAGCTTTTTTTGAAGTGTGCGCGAAGGTAGTGAAGACACTTATTATATACGTCATGATTATTTTTCAGGAAGAAGTTTTAAAATTGGATTACACTAAAATAGCATGCGATTAAAACAATATGCGGACACAAAGGTCGCGATAGTTTTTTTTTTCATTTTAGTTGAACCAATTTTGAAAATGCACATGGCGTAAAAAACTTGATTACTTTTTCATTTACAAATGGCATCACAATGAAAACAGAATTTAGTTTTCACATTTTGCTTAAAAGTTGATCGAATACGTTAAAGACAATAGTCAGGCATAATTTGAATTTGTCCTTTTTTGAATAGACTTGTTGCCGAAAGATAATAAATTTTTATAAGAAAACAATAGCCGGTTGCTGTGCAATTATCACAAAAGGTTCCGATGAGTCATTTTTGCAAAAAAGACTAAGATAAAATGTTTCATTGGGATTCAATTTTTATGCTTGCGATTAGCAAGCGTATTTGCTAAAAATGAAACTAACAGCGGAACTTTCAAACCGTTTTTCTTGGCCTTAAACTACATGAAGAAACTTCGACCCGTCTGATTTTTGTTGTAGTACCTGAGTTTGGGTGGAGAATAACAAACCCGAATATATAATTCTTTCCACCTTCGCTGATCAGAAGGTAAAAGATTTAGTTACTCAGCTGTAATATTGAAATTCTAATTTTAGTTCTAACTCTTAAAAATACTAAAATTGGCGCATTTAAGATAGACATGATGGGCGTTAAAACTTGACAATATACAATATTATTTAGATTACGCCAAGAGATCGAAGATAAAGGTTCTTTCAATTTAGAAATTTTCAAATATATATGTTTATATACTTGCTGAGCATAAGTTCACCTATCCTTACAGAAAAATGGAGGTATACAAATTTTGAATACCTGTATTTTGCTGTTGTATGTTTTTGAACGTGATGCAAGACAAACGTAGCTATATATTTATTATTTTTTTTCGACTCCTTTCAATTTTTTCTACAGCGGTATTCTGCTCATGTTATGTCCGCTTGCTTAAAATGTTAGGTTTGTGTTGTGTGGCACGTGCTACGACGCTCAGCTCCGTTTCTGTGTTACACCTGCGATTTCGAATTTTGTATCGCAAGTGATGCGAAGCTCAGATTCTTGTTAGGAAATATTCGAGTAATGCTTCTGATCTCATTCTCGATACTCATTTAAAGCTAAAAATGGGATTCCTTAATACAGTATGTAAAGCGATTGAATCATCAGCAATAAATCTGGTGTTCAAATTTGGCGTATGCGGAAAGGTGATAGATTAGTAAAATATATATTTTTTCGTAATAGTTTTCCTTTTAAATAATCGCTTTTTTGGTTGCGTGTATAAGTTTTTGAACGATGATAATCATTGCTATTGAATGTTTCAACGGTATTGGAGATTTTAAAAATCTAATGGATTCCTGCAAATATCGAAGTTTGTTTTTGGAATTGTTCGTTTCTACAATGGAAGGTAAGAAAGTTCTAAGATGTTCTAAAATGTAATTTTTTTTATCGCAATCAGGTACCACCTCAAAGCGTCGAAAAAAATACAGTGACAGATCATATTGAAGTCCTTTAATTCGTGATTCGAGCTGCAATTAAAATTTTTTACCATTCTGGGGAAGAGTTGCTTTGAAGTTGTCGCTTTCGATACTATTTTTGTCGCCGCTAATCAACCCAGCAAAGTAAAGAGACGGTTGTTTCATACTTAAATTACTCGAATTTCATACTTAAATTGCTCGAATTTTCTATTCCATTTCTGCGAATGAACTCCGTAAAACACCATTATAACAAGCTTCTTTAAATCGAGATATTGAATGATGTGATAGTCTCAGAAGTTACATAAGCTCTGGAAACCAAGTTTTTGTGCATTTGAAGATCAAATTAAGTGTTCGTTTTTTTCTGCTTTGCGTCTCTTGGTCGCGTTTTTTTATATAAAGAGTAGATTGAGGAAGAAAATTTGGTTCTGTTGTACTGTTTTAGCTGCGAGCTCGGCTCCGGTTGTTTTCAAAAGAAAAACTTTAGTTAAAAAGTATAGATTTCAGACCGGTAGGCGACATCAGTGATGCGATGCTTCTTTTTGTCATTGTGCAATTCCATGCAAATTGTTTTTGTTTGCCCAACGCATCAAATGATTGGTGTTCATGCGTGATTTTAGCTGTGGAACGGTCATTCTTAAATAAAATTTGGCTCCTTTCCTTTTGAGTGAAAGTCCGGATATTTCATTTTAAAAAAGGAAACAAATAAAAACTGATTTGTTTTGGCATAATATATTGTTTATCTTACTTTTCTTGTCAAGCTTTCGTATGCATTTAAAAGCACACTAAATTGCCAAAAAAATATCTGTTCCTTTCCTTCAACAATGAACCAACTCTTTCCCGTTTTGAAGCAATGAAAAGATTGAATACAAAGAACAGTTTCGAGATCAATAAATTATTGATAAAAATAAGCTTCGAAGCGTAGTTAAACCCAACTTAATTTCAATGCGACCAAAAACAGAAGGTTCTCAGTGATTTTCTCAGTCTCTGTCATTCTTTACTTCTATATTTATAAGTTTTTTTCTTGTATGTGAAAACAACATTTTAATACGTCACAACTTTTTTTCAGACTAATATGTAGCGTTGCTAAGTGTGTTGGTGTAGTTTGCGGCCTATCTAACGCCTTGAGATTTTTTTCATGCTTACGACTATTCAAAGTTACATCAGATCGTTTCACCACTCAATTTATGAGCTCAAAATAACAATTCATTATCGAATTATATTGACGAATTATTCCTAAAATGGCAGTTTGGTGTTAAAAGCAATATAACTTGTTTAAAAAAATTGTTTTTTCTTTATTTTTATCAAAAAGGTTGACTATCAACGTAAATGCCACATCCATTTTTGAAAAATTCTAAAAATATTTCGATTCCCTGTGTTGAGTACCAACATCAGCAGAATCGTGCTAGAAATTTATCCTCGAGCTATGACAAATTATCCGAATACAGTAGTCAATCGACGAATCCGTTGTACGATCCAAGTGCAGCAACTCTTCCGTATGCTAAAATTTATTCTTCTGACAGCAAATTTGATTGGAAAAAGTTGTATTATGACGTAACAGAAAAGGCCCGATGCTCGAAGAAACTTCCACGACAGAGGTCGAATTTTGCAGCCTGCTCGGATGGAAGCAGTTTGTTCGTACAGGGAGGTATTGGTAACAATGTGTCGTTCAGAGACTTCTGGAGATTCGATTTTGCTTCGAGGATTTGGACTGAGATAGAACCACGATCAGCAGGTAAGGTTTTCATCGTTGTAGTTATAATTTAATTGTGTCTAGAAATTTTCACGTTTTGCTGCAACAATTTTTCAAATGTCATTATCTGTAAATCTAAAAAAAAGGTTCGACAATTGTGCTGCCGTTCAAAAACTTGTGCTGTCGATTGCGTTTTTTTTTGCTGTGATTGCGTTTTTAGCAGAAAAATTTTTGAAAGATTTTTATGATGGGCAGATCAAAGTACCAATTTTTTATTGATACTCGAGAAGACTTGTAAATCATAAATGCTTGTTTTAATTTGATATTTACACTTTTGTTTTTCATAATTTGTTCCAGGTCTACCGTCAGGTCTACCACTGCTACGTGACCACTGTATGGTCCACTATGGATCCAAAGTGTTCATTATTGGGGGAAATCTTGTGGATCTGGATCTCGCTGTACCAATATGGTGCTACAACATACTGTTTTCATCCTTCGAAAGGCTGCCAGTGCCCTTATCTTCTTCCTCGTCATCATCATCAAATTCCCCCCAAGAAAACAGATTTTACCCCCTCACTTGTCAAAGGTCGAAAAGCTCCAAATTAGCTCTCCCGTTGCCTTCAAACCTGACCTCTCATAGCGCAGTTCTGTTAAATAATTGCATAGTTGTTTACGGGGGATATAAACATATCTACGGATGCTCTGGCGAATTGTGGATGTTTAATTTAGACTATCATAAATGGTCCTTGCTTTACTTAGCCAAAGACAACTCGAGTTCAAGTAAAGGACCGCCTCCATTGTACAAGCACAGAGCGGTGGTTTATCAAAACGAGATGTTTATATTTTTTGGCCGTCGCAATAATGGAAGTTATAATAATGATGTGTGGGCTTTCAACTGTGATCGTATGACGTGGAGAAAAATTAACCAAAATGGTCAAATTCCCCCAAACTTGACGGACTGTGACCTGCAGGTAGTTGGGTCAAATGCGGTCTGTATTGGCGGCAAAGGCGAAAATGGAGAATTCAATCAGTGGAATTATCTGTTTTTATTTTCGGGCCATAAATGGAAGACGACAGATGTTTGCAATGATAGCTACGCAGTCTATGGGCCAGTAGTTTTGTGGTAAGTGCCCACAAATTGTGTTTAAATTTGTCTGATAGTGCGAAAAAAGTGTTAGTCAAGAACAATACAAAGCAAACGCATGAATTTGTTATTAGCAGTTCGCTTTAATCTGGCAGAAACTGGAATGAGCTAAATTTTTGATTGATTTTTTAAAGCAATCCAAAAGCTTGATTGATGTTTTATGCTACATGCACCGACACTTTCATTAGAAGCTTTAAATGCCCTTTCATGTCCTACGAAGATTAAGAATAATTATTTGCTCTGCAAAAGTGTTCATATCCGCTGTTTTTTTTCGGAAGTGAATAGTTTAATTCTGTCACAAGCAGTGTTTAAAAAAGCAGACCAAAATATTGTTTTAAGGCTTCTTTTGAAAAAGTTTTGACCGAAAAATTCTGTTGTTTTCGACTCGCGTATCCATTCATATTTAGTGGAAAAAATTAGGGTTGCTCAACTAAAAATGAGTGTCGAACCTTTGGAAAAATGAGAGAGGGGTTCGCCATAAGAACATCGTTTTCAGATGCGTTCAAATGTGAATACCAAACCTTGACAGTTTGTGTTGGTTTGAGCTGATAAACTAAATTTCAGATACTCAACGTTTTTGACGAGCCCTAAAAAAAATTTTTGGCTCATTGCAAGAGTTTACATGAAATGTATGTTTCAGCGTCTCGATTTCACCGTCATCAATTGATTCTAATGACTATGGAACAGCGCATCAGTTTAGTGTACAGCAAAGAAAGCAGATAGATGTGGGTACCAGGAAGAAAATCTACGGCAAGAATGTTTGCTCGACAAAGAATCGCAACAGCCAAACTGTAGGCCTTAATGGGATCATAGACGTCGTTTCGAATCCCTGTTTGTCATCCGTAGATCTTATTCCGAAAAAGAAAACAATCTTTCAAAATGCAATGTTCAAGTCAAGTAACTTTGTTTGCAATCCGGGGGAAAGAGAAAATGAAATGGACGTTTTAGTGGACACAGAAGTAATAAGTAAAGAGAAGTCTTTAGACGTTGACGGTTTGGCGAACAGGTTAAAAAGCTTCAGTAAAAGTTTCCCAAGGTTGGACAAACTAAGTCAAGAGCACCTCGACTACTCGTTGAAATCAACAGAATCTGCTAATTTCTTATCTATGGATTCCTTAGTTCCTATATTATATAGATTGCACGATGATTCCGCTTGTGACGATGATGCTTTTCGGACTAATTTAGATGCAAGTGAGCTGAAAAATGGCTACGATAACTTGTGTTACCTAGAAGATAGCTTTGACAACCCTCGTTTTTACGGAAGACATTTGAGCGAAGTCTCAAATGGTCGACCAACTGAACATCTCATGGAATCGCCAAGCTCATATACAAGACTAAATGCAGAAGTTAAAAGGGCTTCCAAATCTGAAGAGAGAGTTGCAACTTTACTTCTCATTGGTGGTTTTGAAGAAAGTTATATCCCTGGAAAATCAAGCACTTTGGAAATTAGTTATTGCCATTTAGATGCAGAAACTGACTGTTCTGGGAATCTTTGTTCCCAAAACCCCAGAACTGAAACATATTTCTAATTTGATTCTCAAATCCATTGTGATGAATTAGCTTTTTGATGACATATCTTTTGAAATTTATCTGTTTAAACTAACCCTTTAAAAATTAACGTCAATGTGAAAGTATTCGGATTGTTGTCAATCGAATTGAAACTGATTATGTATTGGTTGAAGTAAGTTATAACTTCTACCTGCAAGCTTTGTCTCCATTTGCATTTTCCTTCAAATTTGTAAGAGTTTACTGAGTTATTAGTCCAATTTGCATTTATTTTAGATTATCATTAAAACTTATATTTTCATTTCCTAATTAGATAGTAAAATTCTGCATTCAAATTCAAAATTATTTTGAGTTTCTTTCCAAGTCCTTTGAGTGAATGCTTAGAATAGCAGCGGAGCGTCAGCAGATCTTTATGTTATATTTCGAAGCTTTTTAAATGATGTCTAAAGGAACTAAATTTGAAGCTCCAGCCAATTTAATTGCTGCTGAATTTTAGTTGCTGCCAATTTCAAAAATTTAAAAGCCAATTTAATTGCTGCAGAACATTTTTTAAAATCCATACACTTCAGAAGGCGACTCGATACATCTGAAGACCTTTCAGGCAAAGTGGTTTTTCAACTTCATATGAATTACCTATATATGAGTTAGTGAAATTTGTCTTGCGCTCAATAAATTGGCGTCACTCAGAGTTGGTTTTTTAAATGTTTTTTTTTTTGAAATTTCTGCGCGGACAGCTAGGCGATCTATAAACAGAATGTTGAAGTTTCCTTTTTGTAAGCACAATCTTGAAAAAGACTCTCAGATTCAGAGGTGCTCACCTTGATAACTTTTTCCGACAAATCGGAGATTCAGACTCAGATTCCTTAACTTAAATAAATTAAATAATTATATAACTGAATCAACCGTACAATCCCCCCTCAATTGAATTAGGGGGAGAGCATTTTAAGGTAGGTCACTTAGGGGGGATTGTACGGTTGGTCCTTTTAACTCAATTGGCTTCTTATCAACTGTGTTACTCCGAACACTCGCGGGAAGTGAGAAATCGCCGACCCACGTTTTTTGTTTTAAACGGAATTTCAGGGACTAAAAAAGCAGCTGTAAGGAATGGAGTGTATAATTATTGCAAAGCTATCCAACACGGCTCAAGTTCTGAAAATTCTATTTCAAGAAAAAGTTGAATTTGGTACGATTTAATCATCCGCTTATGCGCGATTTTAGGGCAATATATTGCGCGTTAATTAACCCGAATTGGCCAAATAAGCATCTGTCAAAATATCATAGCTTCACAAAAAATGATCACATCACAGGTGATATTTCTTAAATATATTTGAGCTTTATACATCAAAAATATTCCATCAAACCGCTTCGTTATAAAGTCGAAAATTGACTGAATAAAAAAACCACCCCAAGCGTAATTATTACGCATTTTCTTTGGAAGTCGCAATAAATTACAAGAAATAAGTATAATTACATGCGCTGCTGCTGTTTATATGGAAGTTTTTCGCATAGCTGTTTGCGCCATTTCGCAATTAAAGAAGATTAAAGTTCGAAATTTTATTTCGGAATCGTGAAAAAATAAGGAAATAATGGCTAAAGTTTCGAAAAAATGCATATTTGATACAGATGGTTGTCAAAATTAATACATGCTTAGGGGTTAGTTATCAGGTTGATATTGATAGCAGAGGGGTAATGGTAGTTACCAAGATTCAAACAATTTTCAAAATCTGATCAGTTTCCTTCAGTTATTTTATCGGCGTTCTAAAAGTTTCGATTAATTATCAGGATTCTAAAAACTATAAAATTCCTATTTGAATTCAGACATGCTAATTTCTCTAAATGAGTTGGCGAGGTAGGAGAGACTGATTTGACTTCAACAGACACGGCCTGAAGCTATTTCATCGGGGGATAGGCATGTCCAATGTTTACCATGATACCAGCAGTCTTGTTAAATTATTATTCAATTGATTGGAAAAGATATTTTCAAAATAATTCTAGTCTAAAGTTCGCCTCTAAAAGTGGCGTCTAATTTAATTTTCAAATGAGCAAATTAGATTTGGAATTTGTTTAGAGACATTTTAGACTGGGAAACTTTTTCTTTGCGATTTTCAACTTAAGATACCATCGAGTTTTTTTTATTGATGCATTTGGGTCGTCTGAATCATAAAACCTTATTTCAGACTACCCATGATAAGCTCTCAATGATGCATAACCTTCTTCTGAATGGGCGCACTTTCAAATGCTTCATAGCTTGTTTGATTCTTCTGGCTTACGCAGGTAAAAATTTGTTTGAATCTTTTTACTGCTTCTTTCATGCTTCTAGTTTTTAGAGAGTAGTTTATTCTATTTTTCGAACTCAATATACATCTAGTTCTACCAATGAGAGAGTGCATCATGATAACTTAAGCGTAAAATCCAAAACTTCGGGACAAATAACCAAAAAGTCGACTTCTTTTAACTTAAATTCCTGCAGTTTAAAACTTAGTCATTTAAATCATTTATTAATTATGCATTTTAACAGTTCAAGATAGTGAGGCGTTGTTTCAGAGAGAGTCTCAGGTGTGTTGTATCATTACACAGTGGCTACTCAACCTACAGATGGGATGTACCAATTGTTAGAATCAGCAGAAAACAACAATATCACAGTCAATGTAATCATCTTCGAGTTTTATTTTATAGTTTTAATAATAAAGAAAATTGATTGGTAGAATATTGAAACAGCATACAAAACTAGCAATTCAATCACGTAACAAGTGAAATATCTTTTTTCTACTTTGTGAACATGAAGGATATAAACCACCCTCGAAATTTGTTTCGGGCGTTAGCTAAGTGTACCAAAGTCGAAATTGGCATTTAATCTAATACAGTCTAAAGCGTTTTCAGCTACTTTTAAGGTGTTCCTCGTAATTATAGTGAAGACCATAATTAAGAAGGCAGATCTCCGGTGCTCAATTTTGTTAGTTTCCAGAAGTTGACATCGTAAAAGAGAACTCCGCTTTGAGACCATTAGCAGATTAATTGTCTATTTACTTGTAGTTTTGAAACTATCAGACAAATATGTTGCGTGCAGATTAAAATAAGAAACTAATACCCAAAATGAAGATTTCCAAAGTAAGGAAGACTTTTTCTAGAGCAATTAAGAGTTTTCAGATTTCGGTCGCAGTTATTCTTGAAGACTGCAGAAGTGATCCCTCCGCAGTTTTTAAAGTTGGGCGTTTAATGATTTATACGGATGAGCAACCTGGTGTAAATCTAGAATGTAGACTGTAGACCTAGTAAACCCTGCGGCATCAAAATTTTAGGTTTTAGTTAAATTGGGTGTAATCAGTCGCTTTTTAAAATTTCTTCAGCATGAATCTTCAATCTTCAGCATGAACAAATCTATTAACTTAAAATTCCTCTTTCAGGTGTTGGGTCTCAATTCAGACTTCGACTTTGTGGACATGGAGAGTGCAGAAGGTGGGGCATTCAAGCTCAAAGTACTCCATCAGGAACTAGTTAAACTCAAGCACAAGTTGACAACTGCAGATGAGCATGCAAAGTGCTCATCAATGGACAATAAAGGATGTGAGATGAAGACTGGCAATACAAATAATGCTGGTTTTGAAGGAGATGAAACAAAGGAGAACGATGAAATGGAAAACAAGCAAAAAATCAATTTGGAAGACGTGAAAATTATCTTCACTGATGCGTAAGTTTTACATTTTCTACTTCAATCAATAAAAGTGCATTTCGGCTCCGATAGCTTGAACCATTTAAATGGAAATCATCATTTATCTTTGTATTTGTTCAACCTTAATTAGCATATTCAAAAGTATTAAAACTTTATAAATTATTAAAAAATTATTCATATTCAAAGTTTATTAAAACTATGAATGATTTCTTTTTTTACCCCTTTTTGGCTCAAAAATAAGTTTCGTATCTGGAGTATCGCTAGACCAAAATAATGCTTATTGTTAGAGATAGAAACAATTTGGCGTTTGTCAATGGTTTGCGCAAGATAAGTAGTCGGCTCTTTCGTTTTTCGCCTTCATATTGCCAGTTTTTCATCGTTATTTTTATGCTCTAAAGGCTGAATGTGTGGTGTGATTTGTGATAATATTCATGAAGAACAAATGTGTTAAAAATAGTTATTTTGTTCAACCAGCATGTGAAGTTTTATTACGTTACGATCGCATGAAAATACACTGGAGGACATTACAAACTCAACCTATGTATATTGGTGCACCAAAAAAAGTTTCAAGATATTTTTTTTAAAAACCCTACAGTTTCTCTGGCCGATGCAACAGATTTCGAAGCTTTTCCTGGACTTTAAGAGATAAAGTAAATTTTTAACAACGATAACGTAAAAATTTGTATAAGTTTTAACTAGTTTTTATACTTGCAAGAGCAAGTGTCTTGTAATCGGGAGCTAGACTTTTTCTGTAAACAACTTTTCTTGCAAATTGAAGTTGCTTTATTAGTGAACCCTAGAAAATTCATGGCTCTTTAGGCAACCTTGTCTTTGCAAGGTCAAAAATTCAGATAAAACCTAACAATCAGAGTTTTTTTAGCGAACGTATTTTTCTTTTGATCAAAATTGGTGTTTTCTGGTAAATTCAGGCTCTAATTACTTTCAAACTGACAACAAATTTCAATAATACTTCAGTGGACTAAAATCGAGGTTTCAAATCTAAAATGTCTATTTTAATGTCTATTTTGGACTAAATTTACTCTAGAAAATTTAGTGAATTAAAGTAAAGTGCTCACAGGGATCGAGAACAAATGATCAAAGTAACCCTCTATGGTATTATATGAAGTGGTAAATACTGGCAATTGTTCCCATTACTATGATTTGAAACCTCTTCAACGAGGACATTGGTTTTTGAGATCGACAAATTTTCTTTATTCGGATGTTTCTTTACCCTTGCTGTAAACGACGTTGTTCGCAGAATGGTACTGTTGTAGGGAAGTTCGAAATAGTAAATTCATCAATAAGTATATTACTTGTTTTACCTTTACACGTTTACTGAAATTATTTCGGCTGTTTTTCAGTTTATTTTTTTATATCGTCGGCTTATTTACCTATTTTTTTCTCCTAGTTTTCGGTCGTATTTGATATTGATAGAGTTTTGACAAAGTGTTTTCAAAATTTGAATATCAATTCTACGATTTTTTTTGGAAAATTTTTTCGTGGTAGAATTTTCAGACAGTTTTTTCGTCAATTGATTACACCGAAGACTTTAGTCAAGGTGTTATGGTATCGTGTAACGGGTTTTTTTTTAATGTTGTCAAGTGTCGACAAATAACGTCCACAGTTATCAATTATCATGTGGGCTGGACTATATCGCGCTATGTCACGTGATTGCGTATGTTTGTTTCTTTATTTGTTCATCTTTATTTATTTAATTATCTGTTCTTCTATTTATTTAATTATGTTTAGTTTGCTTATATTTATTTATAATTTATGTATGTACATATTTATTTTTGTTTATTTTTATCACGTGTTTTGTTTATTTATTTAATTATTCTTTCTTTCATTTAGTTTTGCTTTTATTATTTCTGCGTGTGTATTTATTTAATTTATTTATTTTCATTTATTTATATTATGGGTCTGTTTGTTTGGTTATTTGTTCATGAGAAATTTTGGTGTATACATGTGTTAATACGATTTTTAGTTCTAGAAGTGTTATTTTATGATCTTCGTTGATATATCAAAATTTTGACCTATACATGTGTTAGTACGATTTTTAGTTCTAGAACTGTTATTTCAGGCTCTTTCTCGATATAGCAAAATTTTGGTGTATACATGTATTAGTACGATTTTTTGTTCTAGAACTGTTATTCTTCAATTATTAGTTGTTCAAGTTGTTTGGTTTTTGCTTCAGTTTCTATGCCTTCGGTGTATTGCGCGTAGCGCCTATGTTTTTTATTTTGGGTTCACGTGCTTTCTAGCCTATATGTTTCTAGAACTATAATTTTCTGAAGCAGCAGACTCGGGCTTAGGAGGCTTTAAGTGCTATCAGATTACAAAATACTTTTAAATTTTTTTTATCTATATTTTTGCTCTCAATTTTCAGAATTTTTTTTATTTACACTAGCCATCAGCGTAGTGTTTTATTACGAACCTTCTTTTTTTCTAACCTAACTCGCAAATAAAAGTGTTAGTTAAAAGCATTCACTTGTTTGCAAATTTGACTGTAGCATTGGAAATTGCTTTGATTTTTTGTGGCTAGTGTTTAGTACCTATTAAGCGTCCGTGGCTGAGTGGCTAGTGTGTGAGACTGTTAATCTCTAGGTTTCAGGTTCAAATCTCAGACATAGCGAAGTTTTTACCAATTCGAGACATTTCTAATTTTTCTTGTGTATTATATATTTAAATGCGGGCTTCACTATCTCGCCCTGCTTAAGCCTTTCAAGGTAATATTTTTGCATGTTTAAGCTATATCGTATATTGCAATGGTTGAAGTTTTTTTTTCAATTTTCCAGTTTGAATTCAGTGTTTATTTCATGAAGTTTGAAATTAGCAACACTAAAGTGAGATGTTGTCATGTTTTTCCCAGCTTTTTCAATTCTGGCCTCCATATGTTAAAACAAATTCTTTTAGTTCACGAGATACGGCAATTTTCGAGATTTTTCAAAAGTTTCTAGAAAATTTAATCTTCAAATTTTTCTTAATTTTGGAATTCTCACTCTGTAGTTGGGTGCTGTCAGCGTACTCTCAGGGGTTGCGAATCTTGCCTCCAAATCTCTCACTTCAAATCCTTGTAGTTTTCGAGATATGACGTTTTTTATGATTTTTTCAAAAATTTTCAATAAGCTTGGATTTTAAAAAAATGCAAAACTTTGAAGATCTTAATCCTGTTGTTAGAAACTGTGATTGTTTTCTCAGGGGTTGCAAATCTTGCTTCTGAATGTGACTGCTTAAATCCTTGTACTTTTCGAGATTTTTTCAAAATTTTTCGGAGAACTTAGATATATAAAGTTTCACAAAATTTGAAGTTCCAATATCTGTATTGAGGCTTTGTCAGGGTACTCTCAGGAGTTGCGAATTTAGAAAAAAAATTTCTGATAACTTAAAATTTAGTTTTTCTTTTTCTTAAAAATTTGAAGATCGCAACTTTGTATTGAGGCTTTGTCAAGGGTACCCTCAGGAGTTGCGAATTTAGAAAAAAAAATTCTGATAACTTAAAATTTAGTTTTTCTTTTTCTTAAAAATTTGAAGTTCGCAACTCTGTAGTGAGTTTCATTTGCGGTAAACATAGAAAATTTTGGCGTTCTGGCAATTTTTAAAATTCAGTGGTTTTCTATATCGTAAGTGGCGCGAAGCTCAGCTTCGCCTGTGTTCAATATTACGCTGATAAAAACTGATAAAAAACTGCAATGTACTTGAAATCATCTGATAGTTTCATAAGAGGGTATCCTAAATCCTTCAATTTGTGCTTAGAGTTGTCGGAAAATGTCGTCCAATTTACATTGAAAATATGCATGTTCGATAGCAAAAATCAGAAAATTACTTACAACAATTTTACTTTAGGAATATATTTTGCCGATTTCGGTGTGATGCGTTTTCAATTTCGCACTGTATAGTTTTTTAAATATGAAATGTGAATTTGGGGGAATGGAAAAAAGTAATCGGAATTTGCTCTGATGTGCTGCTTAATCTTTTTTGTTAATCTTCTCAATTGAAGTGATTTTGTGATTTTTCTCAATTTAACTTAGTTATGATGTGATCTACGTGGGCGGTGGAATGAGCGAGAAGATTGAGGCTGCATTTGATGGGCACCAGGTGGATGTTCTATTTGGAGCAGAAGTGTTCTGCTGGCCAGACGACGAACTATCTGTGAGTAGAATGGAAATATTGCAGTTTTTGAACGTAGCAATTTTTGATTTTTTTTCACCAAGTATGTTAGATATCAGAAATAATTCGGATACTTGATCTTCGAAGTTAGCCGCAAATTTTGACTGAAATAAATAAGTTATTTGCTGGATGTTATGCAAAACAGGTTTTTATCTGTTTTGACCTTTTGCTTTAAATGATGACTTGTATTAAACCCCTCATGGAAATGTAATTGTGCGATCAACTGGTACGAATCTTTTAGTGCTGAGACAGATTTATTGAATGTGTTGATTTACAGGTGGAATATCCTGAAGTGGAGTCGCCTTACAAGTACCTGAACTCCGGAGGTATGCCGTTTTTTTTATTCTCCAGAAATTTACTTTGCCCACGGGTCGACATTGAAAACGCATTACGACCAATTGAGCTGTTTATTTTTCTCGTTAAGTATAGAGCGAATAATTTGATCAGCAGCATTTGAACATTTTCGTTCATTTGATCACACTTAAGCAACCACATTTTTAGCAACTATGAGCCAATTATTGAACGAATAATTTGATCACATTTCAGCATCGAAGCTTTGAATGAAAGTTATGCGCTCTGTTAACCAGAAAATACCAATATTGAACCAAAGTGAAAAGGCACATAGGTGGCTTATCTTATTTTTGTTTTGGAATGTTTGCTCTGAAAGAAATTCAACGTTTTCTCTGAAATCAGGTTTCTTTTTTGGATATAAAGAAATAATTTTTTCTTAGATCCAAAATGCTTGTGTAAAATTGTCTAAAAAGTACCTTTATTACTCTATCTCGAAAGAAGTCTTCGAAATCTGTCAATGTCGATCAGAGAAATCGCGTGGATTTTACAAATTCTGGAGAAGTGTCTTGAAAGATTCTTTTTTGAATTTTGCATTTTCAGAATTTAGCATTTTGAAGATGCGTTTTCAATGTCACCAAATGTAGATTTTTTTGGTATCCATGCGAATGTAGTAATTTGACGAAGTTTTAGAATCACATCCACTCACGAGTGCAATTTTTTTAGAAACTGTTATTTAAGGAGCATGTTTCACAGTGTTTACAATGAGTGGATCATGAGTCCAAAAAACTCAGATCTGCTTTTGGAGTTTCATCCATTAGCAGTTCGCTGTACAATCCCTGCACACTCAATTATCTTTTACTAGGGTGGAAATTAACCGCATTTTTCAAAATTTTCCAATATCCTACTCGGGTAAAAAAACATTAACTTGACTTTTGATGCTGCTTTTCAGGCTAGTAAAGGTAACTCAACTATGAAATCATTATAAAGCATTGCGCTGCTATCTTTCCATGAAATAAACTTAAATGGCTGAATTCGTTATGGAATCTTGGCCATAGGTAATATTTTAATTTGACCATGATTGTTTGGTGCAAAACTTGATGCTTCTATGTCTGATTTCAGTCTTGATTGTGTTCTCTATTTTAGTTTATCTCTAGTGTTAATCAGATCTCTCTTAATTTCTCATTTTCTCTGAAAAACCTTCGACTATATCAAGCAATCATATTGCTACAGTTTGCATTGAATCGTTTTCATACGTGTATTTAGGATCAAGCGAAGGACTTTCAAAATCAAGGGAAATAATCAAGCGAAGGACTTTTTTTTGTTAAAGAAGAAAAAGAACTTTCAGTGCCAGATAAATAATTTATACTTATCCAAATCATTTTACAATTTATAAAACTGAGCCGAGGTAATTTATTCCAAATTCTCTGTTCGAACTATGCTTGCTTGAAGTTTTATCGTCACGTCTGTCTCGCTTTTTCTTGCAAAGAAAATATTTCTTTCAGACTAAGATACTGTTGACCACGTTGAACTTTTTTGATCGTTAATATACTTTAGGGTTCATTGGTAAACTGTCTGCGATCCTTGAACTTCTGTCTGGAGTGGAAGACCTGAAGAACCACGATGACGACCAACGCTTCTTCACCCACAAATACTTGAGCAATCTAATTGAGGTAAGTTATTTGCAACATTTGGTCATACGCGCCATTCGAGCTTTATACATTATGCTATTAAATTCTATTAATTAAGTGTCGATCAACAGGGTTCCGAGACTTATTGAAGGTTTGCAGTTTTTTCAGGAAAAAGTCTTAAAATTTGTTCATAACTATTTCGCATTAGTGTATTTTACTCCATGCAATAAGTTCAGTTTGATTTTTCATTTCCATTTGAGTTTATTTCAAATTCGTTTAAAGCAAGTAACGCTCGACACTCAAGAAAAGGAAATGACCAGAAAAATTGAAAACGACTTCTAGTTTCGAAAGTGGAATTTAATTCTCAGATTTTCCAGCGGAGTAAATTTTTTCCCTTTTCTTCAGTTTTCTCAAATCATAAAAGATTCATTAAATTAAAGAGATTTAACGGGATTATTTTAAAGAGTAGATGAGCGTAGTGAAGACTCTGATAAAGGTCGTGATGATTTTTGTTTTTGTATTCAGGAACAGTCTTAAAATGCTCTAATAACAAAAGATATATTAACAAGGATAGCCGGTTACTGTGCAAGTGGCACAGAATGTTCCGACCATAGTCTTAAAAAATACAACAATGTTTTTTCAAATTATTGTCGTTTTATTTCGGCGTGGTGTGATAAAAGGAGCTGAACAAAAAAACTGAAGATTAGGCTTACGACGAAAAATCAAAAATTTCAAACCAATTTTTGTCAACCAACACGGGGAAATTTTTTAAAAGTGGTTCGAATCACGACTAAGGGCTTTAATATGTTATATCACTCAACCTGGTCCGATGATTATTTGTGGTACCTGATTTTGCGTGGAAAACAATAGAAAAAAACTAAAACACGCCCGAATACACAGTTCCTCCCCATTTTCAATAGTCGGAACAATAATATACATATTAATGCATTTATGTGTGAGCTTAAGATTGTACGCACTTTTCGAATTCAATTCAGATTAATTTGCTAAAGGTTAAAGGGAAATTGAGCGCTCGAATTACGAAAGTGCCACGGTCAGCGAAATATGTGACCGACATCTTATTTCAGAAGTGATTTTTTTTCAGATTCCAAGCGGAATAAAAACAACCTTCTGTTTCAGTTTTTTCAAATTGAGTTCATTTTATTAAGTGTGTATCATAAATTGTTTTTGAAATTTAAAGAGTTTAAAGGCCATATGTTTCGAATTTTAAGAGTGATCGAAAGTTGGCGTTTTTTAAAAAAATAAGTCATTTTTTTTGTTTTCTTGCGTTCCTTGACTCTTTTCCAATTGTCTGGTGACTATGTTTTTCTTCGAAATTTGAAAATTGAAATATATAATCAGAAATTTTCAGCAAAATAATAGTCTATAATATTCAGAAAAATAGTCAGTGACTGTCTGTTGGCTATATTTTTGAACGCTTGATGCGATTATGAACTTCCAAGTATTTGAAAAATTCATCGGATTTTTAGCTTTCACTGCATACGTTTTCATCGATCTTTCATCGCGTCTACATCAAAAATCCGCTATTTTGCTTTCAGACGAACTAACAGTTAGTTTATTCTGTTTATCAGTATATTAGTAGTGGCTGAAGTTTCAGAACCATTTTCATGTGATTCATTGTTTAAAAAACAAAGAAAACTGATAAAACCAGAGGGAGGCTGAAGAACTTTGTTTTAAATCTTCATTGTAGGTTTACATAGATCTTATTCCTATTTTTGACATTACTCTGTTTTGTCCCGTTTATAGTTGCTGTTTTTTTCTGTCGAAAGTCGAACATTACACAAAAGTCAATTTTACACTTTACAAAGGAGTCTGAAATCAAAACTGACTAGATTTGCCGATATTTATCAATAGGACAGTTAAACCTTAATATGCTTCGGTCCTTAATAAACCTTAATAAGCTGAACCAAAACGAATTTACGAGGCGTCTTGTTAATTGTATACTCTTTTTACCACTCTTGAACGCAATATGGCATCAGGCTCGGTGAATATCTCAGGTCATTCGTCTGAACGCTCAAATGTTTCGGGGAGTAAAATCTTCAAATAACCAAAGAATTCCGTTGCCTCGGATATCGTCTACCGGCGGGCTCCAAGTTTTACGATGAGTTTGGAAGCGTGCTCTCGATGAAGTCGCTTCCTATGGCTCTACACTTTCTTTCATGCTCCTAGACGATCGGAACATTTCGATGGCGACAAAAAGAAGGAACGTCAAGTCACGAAATCGTTGGGACTTAGAGGACTGCTGTTTTTCAGTTCATTGCTGACTATCAAATGACGTGATCAAGGCACCTTTTTATTTCAATTATGATAGCCATGAAAAAATCCCGTGTGAGGAAGATGGAGCAGGAAAGCTTGTTTGACCATCGTAACGGCCCTTCCAGCATGCCACAGAAATGAGAAGCTGGTGATGAGCTAGCTCATCTTTCAGTCGAAATCATCGTTTGTCGAAGCATTTCGAACAGATCTATTGTCAGTTTCACTACATGTGTCTTGATTTTTTGCGGGTGCTTTTGCGGTGCACTGTTTTCTGAGTTTAAAATCGTCAAGCTGTTATGCATTTGTCAGTAGGGAGACAAAAGTGAACAAGCATATGTAGTTTTCTTTCGAATACGTTGTCTGCGACTACAAAATCGCTCTGTGATCAAAGCCGATGTTCTTCAAGGCATTAGGTTTATCAATGGGTTTCTTGAACCTGATTGCCGATAAATTGACAATGAGAGTTGTCATTTGATCGTACCTTCAAACCGTAGTTTTTGCTTGGAAGAGTAGTTTTTGCTGCATATAGTTGCGAATTTATTCCATTCCGTGATATATTTGCACTTGTTATCGTAGTTGTATAGGAGCGGTTAGGGTGTGAGATTCTTAATCTCTAGGTCGCAGGTTGGGCTCTTTTTCCTTTCCCCCACCTGCAATTTTTTCACTAGTAAAGTTACTGTTCACATTGTCCGATCGTTATGAAAATTTACATGGGGACTAATTAGGCTGTGTCAAACATATTTGGTGTTCATAATTATCCTTGTGGCTCAAATGGCTGAAAGCAGTGGGCATATTGCTGAATTTAGAAATTGTCACCCGAAGTTTTGTAACAGTGACAGCGTTTGATTTTATGTACAGCACAATCTGATTTGAAGCTTCCGGTTGTTAGGTGAATATGTACCAGATCCTCAGCAGCCATGTACATTGAAATTTACTTGTGAAGGCCATGAAACTTGTCAGGCTGTTTCTCTGAGGATGTATGATCATCTGATGCAATTACTCAAGATTCCGCAATACTCAATTAATTTGTTATCAGTGATCAGAGTTACCGGCTTTACTGTATCTATTTTTTTTGCATGGCAGAAAGCATCTGGATCCACACTGTCTTCAGTATTAAATGTCGGAAAATCTTGATTGTTTTAGCTGAACATGTTCTATTTCTCATGATGTGGTGTATTCAGTTGTAAGTGGCGTTTACTGTTACAGTTTTCTCGTATGCTTTTTTTCGGATTTGTAGCTGGTCTTGTTTGAGTGCTTTCGGATTTACTGATTGTTTTTTGATTCACCATTTGATGGTCTTTTAGGCTGCTAATCTAATTTTTTGCAAGCCTCCAAATAGTAGTTAAGCCAATCAAAGAAATCAGTCAGTGTCGTCTAAAAAATATAATTATATATCCTTTTCATGAAAACGCGGGAGCACATTTATTGCGAGCAATTTACGAAAGGTTGTTCGACGCCAGATTTCTTGGATCATATTTGTTAGCTCGTAAGTTATGGTCGAGTTATCTTAAGAGAGTATAATAATTGACAAGAGGCGATGCTTTTCACCAACTTAGCGCAAGAGTTAGAAATCGAAACTGACTTTAAGAATTGGCAGTATTTAATATTAGAACAACAAGGATCAACAGATCCTAGTGTTAAAAAGATCTTGCTGTGTTTAGAAAAAGTATTCTATTGGTCTTGACACTTCAGCGAAGATATTCCAGAATCTTAATGGGGCCTATGAACACGTGAATTTATTCGTGGAAGACGGAACTACTGAATATGGCAAGAAGGTTGTGCTATGGAACGAAATGACGGACACTAAGCCAATGGTGTTGCATGGCAATGGAGCTTCAAAGGTTAGTCTAACCGTATTTATCTGGATTTTTAAAGTTATAAATTTCATTCAATTCGACTATCTTCATACGTTTTCTTTTCAAACAATTGATAATCACAGTCATTGATAACTGCTACCAAGTTAGATAAATTTGTTTTCCTGCGAAGAACTTGCTCAACAAAAGCACATCTTGAATTGGATTAGTATCATATCTGCAGGGGGTTTTAGGTCACGTGGTTTTGCAGCTGGTTTCATTTTAGAAGGAATTTAAATTTAATTTCTAGCGAAACAACGAAAAAAACCTTTCTTAAATGCTGTTTGTTTTGTCAAAAAAAGTGTCAATCTTAGTGTGTCAAATTGTCAAGAAGCTTGATGAAGTAATTTTTTTCATTGATTTTTGAAAGTTGAAAGTCATCCCTTTTTCTACGGTCGCAGTGGGTTAGTTGAAACTTTTCCAACGCTCTGTTAGCTATGTGATTATTTTTAGTGCTTTCGAAGAAAAAAGCTCAATGATGGGGGAAATTCATCTTAACTTTCAGTTGTAACTGTGATTTCAATTTTAATATTTCTGAAATAAAAAAATCTTTCATCCAGTTTTATTAGATTGGGCCTGTGTTTCAAAGAAAAGTGTGAATCATATCAGAAATCCTAAAGTTGAAAAGTTGTAGGATATGATTTTAATGAAACTTTTTTTCCAACTGAATGTTCAATTTTTTGTACATGTATGTCAGCGAATAGCTTTTACAACTGTGAAAATTTTTACCTGGTACAACTAATTTGATGTTTGTTTTCAGAATTTCCTGAATTTTTACTTGGCCAACTACATACTACCGAAAGAAGAGATTCCTCGTTCAGACGAGTTGTTATGGGATCTTGCTGTAAGTGAATGTTGAAATCAATCTTTTCTATTCATGTTGTAAGACAAAGAGTCGGCTTATTTAGCTTAAGTGGACAAAAATATCAGCGAATTTCAAGAGCTAATAGATCTTGCTTCCATTTCGGTTTTAATTGCCAGTTTTATCTTCTTATTATTCTTTTTAGATCGACAATGACGGTAAACTACCCACGATACTCGTGAGTCTGATCTTCGACAGTCAGTACCCTTTCTTGGAAGAGTTCTTTGCCAATTTTGCCAAGTTGGAGTACCCTAGGAAGAAACTCATTGTTCAAGTTGACATTTTGGTATGTTGCATGAATGTTTCCAGCCGTTATAATTATTCAGTTATAGTTAACAGACCAGGTAATCGTGTGAAAACGAAATCGTGAAAACAAAATTAAAAACACAATCGAAGAAGTGAAAACAAAATCGGTTTCCATTAAGTTAGTTTTTTTTTCATCTGGCGTTTCTTTATCCAAAAAGCAGGGCTTAGTTCAAGTTAAAATGCTGTCATTATTGTTAAGTTGTTTTGTGAATATAAGTAAATATCATAAATTATCGAAAACGATCGATGAAAATACCGTGAAAAATACATTATTAAGAGTAATGAACGTAGTTAAAACTTATATAGGTTTTGGTGATTTTTTTTCCGGAAAAAGTCTTAAAATTTGTTCATGCTTGATTTTGATTTTTCGCGCTTTGACTTGTGATTTCTTTTTAAGTTCAGTGCATTTCCATTGTTGAAAGGAAGGCAAAGTCGAACAGCAAAAGTGTAAAGGTAACGAAAAACTTACTCGACTTCTAGTGTCGAAAGTGGAATTTAATTATTAGATGTCCCAGTGAAATAAAATTTTTACGTGTTGATCCTGTTTTCCTACTTGAGTTAATTTCATGAAAAAATAGTCAATTTAAAAATTGTTCTAGAAATTTAAAGAGGTTAAGTCTGTTTTTTAAGAGTAATGAACGTAGGGAAGACTCTTATATAGGTCTTGCTGTTTTTTTTGTTTTTTTTTCAGGAAAAGTCTTAAAGCCTCTAATAACTACAGATGTGCATTCATGCATATTGATGCATTTATGAATGCTTTTAGGTATTTATGCACTTTTTGAGTTCAATTGAAAGTCATCTGCTGAAAGTGGCGTAAATAGCACTCTTCAAAAACGAACGTGGAAATAGCGCAAAAAAACGTGAACGATTTCTAGTTTCGAATGTGGAATTTAATTTTAAGATTTCCCAGCGGAATAAAAACTCTACCTATTGATCCAGTTTTCTCTAGTTGGGCTTGTGTTATCAAAAAAGTGACAATCATAAGTTGTTCTAGAAATTCAAAGAGCTTAAAGGGCATCTATTTTATTAAATTGAAATTCGACAGTTGAGATTTTTTCAAGAAAGTCAGTGTTTTTTTCATGTTTATTTGCGCTCATTACTCTTTTCCAATATTCGATTGGCTATGTTTTTTCTGTTTCTTTGAGTTCATTACCCCTTTCCATTTTTCAGTAGGCTATCTTAATTGACACTATCATACATTTTAGCGTCCCGCTCTTCCTCAGAGCCAAAAGATAACCCGACTCAGTGCACAATATTTGCGAGGAATGAAACACACGATCTTCTTCTGTGCCGAAGATGACGAAGAGTGCGACGTGAGGGCTACGATATTCAGTATTTTGCACGAAATACACACTGATCAGAAACACTCGAATCCTGAAAAACCACATCTGTTGCTGTTAGATCCATCGATACATATAACCAACAGCAAGATGCTTTTGATACTCATCAAAACTGAATTGTGAGTAGACCAATTGTTAACTGTTAATGAATGAAATGATTTATGACTAGGTCCTCTGATTTTTTTTTCAAGGAAGGCGAATTGTGCTCCCCAAGATTAACAGAAATAACGCGAAAAAAGAACATATTTAATTTTAGTTTAAAAAAGTTACTCTTATTCCCAGATTTTGCAGAAAAATGAAAATGACGAATTGACCAGTGTGTTCTACATGTTTACACTAGCGAGCATAATGTATTAGAATGACTCTACCTTTTTTCCGACCTAACTCGCAACCCAAGTGCTCATTTGGTGGCATTTTTGGTATAATCTGCTATGAAATTTTATAGCATCTATTCGCTGTTTTTTATGACTGTTTTTTTTCCAATCTTTAAGCGTCCTTGGCTGAGACGGAAGGAATTGAGGCTCCAAATCTCGAGTTTGCAGGTTCGAACCGGAACCGTATAATTTTTTTAAAAATCGATTTGAGGCTTTTCAGCAAACTGTAAAGGTCACGATAAGCGTGATTGACTTTTAGTTTCGAAAGTGGATTATAATTTTCTGATTTCCCAGCGCATTGAAAAGTTTACCGATTGATCCAGTTTTCTCAATTGGGTTATTTTTATCAACAAAAAAGTGTCAATCATAAATTAATTTTCAAAGAGCTTTTAGCCCTTATATTTTTTTTGAAATTCAAAATTTAAGTATTTTTCAAAAACAAACTGTTTTTTTTTCTGTTTTCGTGTGTTCCTTGATTCATTTCCTAATGCTGGCTATGTACTCAAAGTATTAGAAAGTCGGAATACACGATTTCAGTTTATACTGGCGAAGTTTTCTTTAATTGGTTAGGCGTTTAAAAAAAGTGTCACTCCTAAGAAGTTCTTGATATTTAAGGAGTTCTAACGTGATGTAATTTTCCTTTCAGTTCATTGATACTTTTCCAGCTGTCTGCTGGCTGTGTTTAAGTGTAAAAGAAATAATGGATTTCAATTGTATTGATCGTGATGATTTTTTTAAGTAAAAAAACCCGAAATTTATTCACGCTCAATTTAGGTTTTTTGAGGTTGGACTTTTGATTTCAAGTTGATTTCATTTTTTGTGAAAAGGAAGGAAAACTCCACTATTGCATTGCTGGTAAAGATCATGAAAAACATGAGCCACTTCTAGTCACAACAATGAGACTTTAATTTTTGGAATTCCCAGCAAACTAAAAAATTATCTATTGATTCAGTTTTCTCTATATGGGATAATTTAATGAAAAAGTGCCAATCATTGCAGTTTTGGGAAATATTGAAAGAAATTCAATCGTTTTTTTTTTGGTTTCCTTGTTCTTTAACTTTTTTCCAACCATCTGTTGGCAATCTTTGTTTTCCATTCGTAATCAGTATGCATTCAGTGTTTTTATGAAAACTCAGATTTACCTGTATTTGCCTTTATGCTCATTATACCATAGATATCCATAAATATGGAAAGTGAGTTGTGGTCTTTTTTTCCATAGTTTCAAATAGAAAAATTGACTTAAGCCAGACAAAAGACAAGGAGGGAAGAGTTTTTGCGTTCTTTCATCTAATTAAACTATACTTCTACCGTTGTATTCACAATAGCGAGCTTGCGAGCGTTAGTGTATTAGTTCTAACCTTCTTTTTTTCTCGCAATTAAAAGCATTCACGTATATGGAAGTTTCGCTGTAGCATTGGAAATTGCATAGCATCTGTTCTCTATGAAGAAATCTTCATAGCATGCTGTTTTTGTGGCTAGTGTTAGTCATAAACTAAGCATCCGTGGCTGAGTGTTTAATGCGTGAGATTCATTATCTTTTGGTCGCAGTAGGTTGTAGGCTCGACTCCGAGCCGTAGCAGAATTTTTCCCAATTCGAGGCTTGTTTCTTCTTTTTTGCACTTTGTAGAGCTGCTTTTTGTCATGTTCTCGCTAGTGATTGCGAAGCGCAGCTTCGCCTCTGTGGTTACATAACGTCTACTATAACGTCTTGTTCATCACTTAGGAAGATTATGGCCCCTATTGTGAGTCATGATGGTTCTCTGTGGAGCAATTTCTGGGGTGCAGTTAACGAGGATGGTTATTACAGCCGGGCGTTGGACTACGTAAACGTTGTCAACAGACAGTTCATAGGTGCAGTAAAAGTATAAATTTAATTGAAAATAGTTTTATGATTTTCTTTTTCAGTATTAGTGAAGGAAATACATCACTTGCTTAGGTCGCTTTTTCCAGAAACTTGAAAAAAAAATTCCGTTTTTGTTTTGCGGTTTGACTTCAGATTTTTTTTTTTCAAGTTCAATTTAATTAGTTTGCTAAAAGGATGGCACACTACGCTCTCCAATAATAAAACTTCAAGTGGGTTGGAAAAAACGTAAATTTATTTTACTTTCAAAAATAGCTTTGCAGCGGAATGAAAATTTAGCCATTGATTCAGCTTTTTCAAATTGAGTCTGTTTTGTCGAAAAGGTTTCAATCGTAAAAGATTCTTGAAATTCAAAGAGCCTTAGGGGCATCTTTTTTTTCAAAAATAACAGTCTTTTTGCTGTTTTTAAGAGTCATGAACGTAATGAATACTCTTATATAGGCCCTGTTAATTTTTTTCAGGAAAAAGTCCTAATTTTTTTTTACGTTCAAATTTGATTTTCGACCGTTTGGCTTCTGATTTCTTTAAGTTGACTCAATTACTGGCTTGTTGAAAGGAAGGCAAACTCATCTATCGAACAGCTGGAAAAGGTCATGAAAACTATGAATGAGTTCTAAAAACAAAAGTGAGACTTTAATTTTTAGAATTCCCAGCGGACTGAAAATTACTTATTGATTAAGTTTTCTCTATAAAGGAAAATTTTAAGAAAAAGTAGAAATCATAAACAATTGTTGAATCGTTATGTACTTCTAGTTTCGAAAGAGGAATTAAACTTTCAGATTTCGCAGCGGAATAAAAACTTTATCCAGTGGTCCAGTTTACCAAATTAGGTTTTTTCAAAAACGTTCAAATAAAATGTTTTAGATTTTCAAAGAGCTTTAAGGGCATCTTTTTATTCTCTGAAAACCGAAACTCCCAAGTTTTTCAAAAAAAACAGTCTGCATTTTTTTTCTGTTTACTTGCGTTCGTTGACTTTTTCCAAGGTTTTTTTTGATATCTCGGTGCGGTGTGGTTTTTTTTAGTACGGAGATCCTGGCTTTCTGTTTGGGGCACGATACAGACCAGAAGACCAAAGTTTTCTCGGGCCTAAAGTTTTCTTTTTAAGAGTAATGAACGTAGTGAGTACTCTTAATAGGTCTTGCTCAAGCTCATTTTAGATTTATCGCGGTTTGACTTGTGTTTTCTTTTTAAGTCCAGTGCATTTCTATTTTTAAAACGAAGGCAAACTCCACTATCGAACAGCAACACTGTAAAGGTCACGAAAAACAAGATTGATTTCTAATTTCGAAAATGGAAATTAATTATCAGATTTCCGAGCGAAATAAAAGTTTCAGCTATTAATCCATTTTTCTCAAATTGGATTAATTTTAACAAAAAGTGTCTATCATAAATTTTTCTACAAATTCAAAGAGCTTTATGGCCATCTAATTTTTTTCTTCGAAATTAAGAAGTTTTGAAAAAAATGTTGATTTTTTGTTTCCTTGCGTTAATTACTATTTTCCAACTGTCAGTTGGCTATGTTTATTTTTTACTACGTTGCTTCACCTTTTTACATCTGCGTTTGCCGTTTTAGTTGCTTGTTTATCAAGTGCAGCGTCGCCTTTGTGCCAAGGCCAATTTTTGAGTCTTGAAGATTTTTTTCCAAGTTTTCTTTTTGCTGGTGTTTGTGAAATGCAGCTTTGTTTGTGTTTACACAAGCAAAGCTTGTTTGATAGCATGAAGCCTCTTTTTTTCAACCTAAGTCGAAAATATTGTTGTGAAAAGATGCGTTCATTTTAAAAGTATTCATTTTGGCCAATAACCAGCTATTAAGTGCAGCCAATGCAAAGGATATTAACACAGACTATTATATTACAATTTGCACTTTAGCTTCTAGGTATCGTGGATCTGTAGCGAAGAGGTAGGGAAGGAGACCCAAAACAAAATAAGAGGGTTCGAACCTGGGCAGGGTCGGATGTTCTTAATGAACTTTTTCGAATACTAATAAAAATGCGTGCGCTCTGTTAATTGAGGCATGTTAGTTGGTAAGATTTTTTTCAAATTGACTGTACTGCCAATGCGTCATACTTGGCTTGCGTCACTTAGCAATTATGTAGACTCTTAATTGACGTGCGTCACTTAAGAAATTTTATAGACTCAAAGTTTTACTCATTCAGTTTTTCCCAGTAGCGTTATCGGTCATATTTTTGTTTGTATATGCGAAGTGCAACCTCGCCTCTGTGTCAAATTGTTCTCCTTTAAATTGGCGTTTTGCTCATTTAGGTGTTTTCAATGTGCCTTATATAACGGGAATTGTGATGATCAAAGCGGATGCCATTGCGAATGTTTTGAACACTTTAATGTCGTGTGCGAGTCTGGCCAATATCAGGGACATGGACATATTCTTTGCTGCATGTCTCCGAAAGAGAGTGAGTCATAATATATTACGAATTCCTATAACTTTTTAAACTCTAGCATCACGAATATTTTAAATTTTGATTTCTCGTTTAAATGTAGAACGAATTGCTAAATTATTACGAGAATATTGTAAATAGGCCGACAAAAAATAAACAAACGATAATCGAAACATTTGAAATTTCGAAGCAGCAAATCTTCAGTTATGAACAAAGCTAAAGACGGCTTGACTTGATCAATTTGCGGTTATCGTAACAAGCATTGACTTTGCCGCTGCGTACATTGACGAGAATCAAGTCATTGAATGTGTTTTGATTCACAGGCAGTTTAATACTGCCAGATGTACAGATTCCAGAGAAATCCTGTTAACACAGTTTCTAATAGAAAAAAGTAGTGTACGATTGCAGTAACCTTTCACAGTGCCCTTTATTATTTTGCGAACAGCTAATAATGATATTATAAAGTATTTATACCGCAGATTAGCTAGCCACGTAGCCTGTCTTTTTTAAACTATTTTGTTTTTCGTATGATTAATTATACTAAAGGGCCAAACTAATGGCACTTTTTTAAGGTGAACTGCTCAGACGTGAGAATTTGATTGAAGTTTATGTCACAGGAACCGAGAGCATTATTTTGATTCGCAAAAACGTACAGATCTTGACAGAGCTCAAAGCATCTAGTTGTTGGAGTATGAATCGGTTATTGAGTAACTTATCAAATGATTCGCTGATTCTGTTAGACTAGTTGCGTTTGATTGGATAGCGCTTACTTATCGCCTGTGTAAATGCATATTTTTTAAACTGCGCTTAGCTGTGACTTGCGGTGTCTTGTCAATACTTGAGAGCTGTTCAATTGTTTTCAGGGTGTGTTCATGTCTGCATTTAATGAGGAGACGTATGGCTACCTGGTGACTAACAATGACTACATTGCAGTAGACGAGGAAGAAGAAAGCAAAACAGGATACGAAAGAGAGCTGTTCGCATTCTTCGACGCCATGACTGTTAGTAGAAAAGGTTTCTTCGGTTGTGCGATGATGAAAAGAGATCCGCAGTACTTCAGATTGAAAAATCATTTGGTCCCTGGCTCTCGATTTCGTAGTTTTCGATCATTTTTATTTTCCAAAAATTGTATGATTTGGAAAGAACACCCCATTTCAATTTCTCATTTAGGCTGAAGGAAAATATGGAATATTTGTTTGCCGGTTGAAATGTGTCTTCTTTCTTACAATCCATAAGATAATTGACTTGAATCTTGGCAAATTATTTAATAATAAGCAAAAGTTTGTGTTTATGAGCAAAAATTCGTTCTCTTGGTAGCCTTATAGTTTTCATGCTCATTAACGGCTATATTTTGATTTCTGGATGAGTGAATTGAATAACCTCTTTTTCAGCCTTGGAAAAATAGGTATGTCGACATGGACGCTTATAACGAACTGACGAGCAAGAAATTCATCAGCCAAATGGACCAGCCCTGTCCTGAAGTGTTTCGCCTAAAACTGTTCAACGAGAAGTTCACGAGGTCCCTGATCAACTTGGCAGAACACGTGAACGAGTGGTCAGGAGGAGGTTGTTATAGCAGTTCAATCATTATTAGTGTATTAGACCGAACCTTCTTTTTTCTAACCTAACTCGCAAATAAAAATGTTCATTAAAAGTGTTCACTAATTTGGGAATTACCTTACAGAAACACATTGAAAATGTTTTCGGCGATTTTTTTTTTGAGAAAACGTTGCTATCTTAGAACTTTCGTTTCCTACAAGAAAGTTTTAAGATAGGGATATTTTTTGTAGGATGGCCGACCCAGATGACACTTATCCACCTGTCTGTATGTCTGTTGGCTATATTATTCAAACATGGAAAGGATAATTGTTTTGCGATAAAATAATAACATGGCTTTCCAGATAACACTGATAGCTGTTTCAGGCCACAGTAAAGCTCCAGATAAAAGACATGGCGAGGGATTTGTGGAATCATATCCGACAGTAGATGTGCATTTGTACCAGCTTGGATTCAACACCACTTGGCTGCATCTCATCAAGTATCTCATGGAGCCCGTTTTCAACGTCTTATATCCTGATTTCAATTTCGCCTTTGATAATCCCAGAGCTGATGTAAGTTCCTGCTAAGAATTAATTGCTGAGCTGTCAGGTTTTCTGAATAGACTGCAGAATTTTTAAAAATTGACCATCTAATTAAGGTTAATTTAATCAAAGTTTTTGCATTCTGCAGCTATCAACAAAAACAGAACTATTTTTTCTTCAAAATAATTTTTGATATTGTTAAAAAGTGACTCAAGCCATTTTTTCTTTTTTGTTTGTATGCGAAATCAAATATAAACTTTGTTTCCGATATTCTGGCGTGGTTTTGCTTTAGTACGGAGATCCTGGCTTTATGTTTGTGGCCCGGTACAGACCAGAAGACCAAAGTTTCCTCCGGCCGCATCATGACGCATCAACCTACACTCTAAACATGGCCTTAAACATCAGGGGAAAAGACTACGAAGGGGGAGGCTGCAGATTCATACGACAGAACTGTTCAGTTACCGACTCCAAACCAGGCGAGGTGTTAATTCATCCAGGGAAGCTGACTCATTTACACGAGGGTCTGAACACCACCAAAGGGACCAGGTATATCCTGGTTTCCTTCATGCAGCCGAGGTGAACAGGCTAGAAGTGTGAATAGAAGCAAAGCCAATCCGAGTTTCTTCTTAAATTGGGACTGAACGGATTATAAACTAAAGAATAAATTAATTTAGCAGATTATGCACTTTGAGTTTGTGGTGTTTATTTCAAGTACATCGAACTGTTAATTCGATGTATTTTGTAGGATCAGTGTAGTTTTTCTTTAATCGCGCTGGATTTCTTCAATCATTCAATTCGCTACCAAATTTTTTGTGCTTGTCCTTAATTAAAACTGTGTAGATGATACCAATTAATTTAAGCAATTCGAATATAACTAAGTGCCTTCTTATTTTTATTTTTTTTGCTGAGATAATGAATTCAATTCCTCATTTTGCTTAGATTGTGAATTCAATTCCTTATTTAATCTCTTTTTTAAGAAATAATTTTCCTCTCTTTTTAGTGGAAGCCAAAAAAAATTGAAATTTCGCCAGATTTTTAAAATGTTGATGAGCGACGTTAAGTCACTTACTCAGTTCGGGTGTTTTTGTTGATTTTTTTTCAGGATAAAATTAGTTACGCGAAGTTTTTTCTGCGAATTTTTTTAACTTCATTTATTGATCCAGTTTTCTGAAAATAGATTAGATTTATCAAATCAGTTTTGATACTTACACAAGCATAGCTTGTGTTATAGTATGAACTTTCTTTTTTTTTCAAACTAAGTCGCAAATATTGTTGCGACAAAATGTGTTCATTTTGAAAGTGTTCATTGTGATCCAGCTAATAAGTACAGCCAATGCTAAGGATATTAACACAGACTTTTATATTACACATAGCACTTCAGCTTCAAGGTATCGTGGTTCTGTAGCGTAGAGGTAGAGAAGGCGACCAGCAGCAAAATAAGAGGTTTCGAATCTGGGTAGGGTCGGATGTTTTTAATGAACTTTTTTGTATACTAGCTAAAATGCGTCCGCTTCATTAATTGAGGCATGTTAGTTGATAAGTTTCTTTTCAAATTGACTGGTACTGCTAAGGCGTCATAATTGGCTTGCGTCACTTTGGGCTCTTTTTCCTCCCCCCCACCTGCAAGTTTTTATAATTAAAATAACTGTTCAAGTTGTCCGATTGCTATGAAAATTGACATACAGACTAATTAGGCCATGATAAACATATTTGGTCTTCATAATCAACCTTGTAAAACTAGTCGTTATGTCGTAAAATTGATACTCATGTGAGGTGGGGGGGGGGGGAAGGAAAAAGAGCCTCACTTTGCAATTATGTAGACTCATAATTGGCGTGCGTCACTTAAGAAATTTTGTAGAGTCAAATTTTAACTCATTCAGTTTTCCCCAGTAGCGTTGTCGATCATATTTTTTGCTTGTGTATGCGAAGTGCAACTTCGCCTCTGTGTGAAAGATTTTTGAAACTCTTAGAGCTTCGATTAAATTGTTATGACGCTTTCAACTAGCAAGCGTTATCAAACCGGAATATAGACTTTTTCGAGTTAACAACTAGTTTAACAGAAACACGTGCATCACGTTTATTTCATATGAAATCAAGAGAGACCTTAATTCGCATATGTGGCGAAGAGCTAACGAAACTGCTTATAATTACGTTCAATAAGTTCATTTGTTCTAATCCGGCCAAGACTTGTTTTTTTTTGTAAGCGGAAAATTGTCCGCTCGTTAATTTTTTTTGTCGGAATTCTGTTTTTCTGCTTTTTTGTCAGCTTAGTTGCTGCATCACCAAATTTGCCTAAAAATTGAGCTTTTTTTACTCAAATTAAAAAAACAGAACAATTTTTTGCAGTTTTCTGCAACTGGTTGAGTTCCAAAAAGTGTTACCTAGTTTACTTTTTTCCATGATATTCATAAAAAATGGTATCATGAAGCTTGAAGTAATACCACTCGGTGCAGTGGTAACACTTCATGCCTGAGAAGAAAAAATACAGAAGTTCGATTTCAGTCGGGACTTGTTTTTTGTAGAAACTGAAAATTTTCGAATATTTTTCTCGAGTATTTGATGTTTTCGACTTCCTCGTTTATTTTTGTCTTCTTAGGGCCCGCATAAAGTTAAGGTTTCTTTATGGCATTTTGAAAGCTCATCTTAAGTTTTCAATGGTGCAGATAGTTTGTTCCAGGGATTTTTTTGTTCTTTTTGCAAGTTCCACAAAACTATTTTTCAAGGTTTTGTTTTTCAATTTTTGATTTGTCCTTTAATTGGCTGGTAAACATAATCATTCATTAAGAGTAATGAACTAATAGATACTCATACATAGGTCTTGCTGATTTTGTTTTTTTTTCACGAAAAAATCCTAGAATTTGTTCACTCTCAGTTGTGATTTTTCGCGGTTTGACTTTTTAAACCGCTTGATTTCTTTTTCAGCTCAGTGCATTGTTAAAAGGAAGGCAAACACCACTATCGAACAGCAAAAGTGTAAAGTTCACGAAAAACGTGATCGACTTCTAATTTCGAAAATGGAAATTCATTATCAGATTTCCCAACGAAATAAAAAGTTATACGTATTGATCCTGTTTTCAATGGTGCAGGTAGTTTTGTTCCAGGGATTTTTTGTTCTTTTTGCAAGTTCCACAAAACTATTTTTCAAGGTTTTGTTTTTCAATTTTTGATTTGTCCTTTAATTGGCTGGTAAACATAATCATTCATTAAGAGTAATGAACTAATGGATACTCCTATAGCATACCCAAAGACAGAGTCATACCCACTTTCAGTGGTCGGAATAATTCAAAAAGCCGATTTCTAAGCAGGTAAACGGAAAATTTATAGCGAAAAATTTTTTCCGAACCTTGAAAATGGGGTGGAATTTAGTATTCGGGCATGTTTTAGTTTTTTTTTCGGCTTTCCACGCAAAATCAGGTACCTGAAAAATTATTGCAATGGGTCGAGTTATCTATCATATTACAGCCCTTTCAGTCGTGATTCGAACGACATTAAAACTTTTTCATAAATTGTCTTAGTGTCGAGAAAAGCTGGTTTGAAATTTTGAGGTTTTTCCAACTTATTACCGCTAGTTGCACGAAAATTTACTATTTATACTATTTATAAGACTTGTATGACAAAAAATTTGTTTTTGCTATTAAGATATCTAATTTTGCAGGTTTTTTTTAGCATTTTTTTAGCAAAATTGTTTTTTAAAAGAAATTAAAAGTATTGTGCAAAAAAATTAGAAAAAAGCTTAAAAACAAAAAAAATGTACAGTTTTTGTTTGATTTTATTTTTTTGACAAAAAAGATGTCAAGCTTGCCGAATTCATTAATTTGTTACGTTATCGCCGTTGTCGTGTAGTTCTCCAATCTTACCACCCGCAAAAAACGACACTTATTTCATAACTAGGTAAAAAGCCTAGTAAATTCACATACTAAAAAAATTATTTTTCGAAAACGTTTTGAAAATCTTGAGTACTTCAAGAAATTGTTAAAAACGCCAAGTAATTGAACAAAATAACGTTCTAGTGTCAAACACTCAAAGTAGGAGACATCCGAATGATATCAATTTGTTTTCAAAAATGACGACATCAGTCTAAATTTTTCAAAAGTTTTTTAATATGTCCCAAATCTCGTTCAAAAGGATTTAAATGTCATATATCATTTGACCCCGTTTAACATTTATTTGTAATTCTTGGTTTTGCGTCGAACTGACGAAACACATGTGAGTGCGAAATACTTTTGCCTCTATCACGGCGATTGTATTAAAAATGAAACAGGAAATTTGAAAACAGATTGCTCGTATCAGGGCAAAGCCCTGAATGTTTCGATTGCCTATTAAGTCTATTGAACATTAATAAAAGGAAAAAATGAGATGTAATAAAAGTAAATTGAGATTTTTCTAGTGTGAGATTTATTTTGTGAAAATCATCCCCCCACATTCCATATAAAGTACAAAGTGATAATTTTGGCTCGTAGTAACAAATCAATATTGGCAAATATTCTTCCTTTAACCAATTTGAAACATTTTCTACGACGGATTAAATCTCCGCTTACGCGTTAATAGTGCGAAATATATTGCTCGTTAGTTGTACAAAATTGGCCAAAATGACAATCTTTACACCCAAATAAGTTTGCGAAAAATGATCACAGCTGAAGTATCTTTTCAAATTTAAGGACAAGACAATAATACCTTATGAATGAGATTTAAAAAATTCCGTCAAAAAGTCGAAATTTGCCTGAAGAAAAAACCCACCCCGAGCAAAAATATTCCGCTACTTTTGTGACGAAAGTCGTAGCAAAAAAGCAATTACATGATCAAATAGAACGTTCAAATCTGGATAAGTTGTCAAAAATGAGGAGAAACTTTTTTTCCAATCGCTGGTAGTTTTCCTGTCTCATTTCATTGATTTCCTTCTGCGGTGATTTTAATTGTACATTAGCTATAGCTAGATTACCTTATTGGTTCCATGAAAATCTACCCGATGCCAATTTACTCTATGCCAATTTATCCTATGTTCTATAAACAGTTCAAATGGTCAGATATAACTGAGCTTCCTATCTCGTTTTAAGGTAGCCGCTTCGCGCCGATAATCGGCTCTAATTTTCGTATAGAAACCTACCCTCTGTAGGCAAGCTCGCAAGCACGCGACTGTGGCAATCACTATTTTGTTTTTATTATTCCGTCGTAATTTAGGCGTATTCAGTAAGCTCACAAAAGAAACTTTTTCAAAAAAGCGATTAACCTTAATGAACTACCAGCTATTTAGTTCATTAAAACTTATGCCCGAATGTCTAAAACCTTTCTCGAAGTATTTATTGAGTCAAAATAGTAATTAAGGATCAATTCCTTCAAAGATACTGCTATTCTTCAAAGATACTACTATTTTTTATATTTAATATTCTTTTTATTTCAATCATTTTCACCATCTCTCTCCTTGTTTTTCGACGACGCTCGACTTTTGCTTACTGACGCATCGCCTAAATGTTTCGTCTTACTGCCTTTGCTACTAGCTGACTCTCCAGATACATTCGAAGCCGAAGTGCTCAAAAGCGACTGCATACTTTTCTTCAATCCCTCGTCTAACGCTTTGCTGCTCCTAGTATCAGTTTCTGATTCGTTTTTGCTTTTCTTGCTTTTCGACTTACTTTTCTTTTTGTCATCTTCTTCGTCTTCTAAACTTCCTTCGTTCGATTTATCGTCATCCGAAGAGTTTTCCTCAGCATTGGATTTCGAATTCTTAGAAGCTTTGCTCTTCGAATTCTTGCTTCCCTTTGACTTCGATTTAGAATTAGCGGTTAACTTTGACCTTTCTTTGCCTGTTTTCAAATCTTGGTCGGCTGAATCGTCAGAGTTATTGCTCTCTTTTGAACCTTTTGATTTCAACTTCGAAGATGATTTCGAGCCTTTACTTCCCGATTTTGTCGACGTTGTTTTGGTTCCAGATGCGCCCGACTTTTTGCCATCTTCATTTGAATCCTCGTCTTCACTTTGAGCGTCGCTGACCTTTGATTCATTTTGTTTACTTCCTTTCATTTTGGATTGCGACGTTTTAGTGGGAGCCGTTGAAACTTTCGACTTACTTTTTGACAACGATGATTTTTTCATATCGCTATTATCCTCTTCTGAATTTTCAGAATCAGTTTGACTGTTTTGCGATCCGCTCTTTTTATTGCCTTTAGACCCACTCATTTTACTCGCTTTGAATTTGGATGCCTCTGATTTTGAATTTTTAGACTTTTTCTTGCTCCCTTGTGTAGTCATTTCAGCATAAGTTGAATTCTCAATCTCAGTATGACTAATTCTAGGACCTGATTTTGCGCTTTTAGACTTGGAATTTTTGGCAGACTTAGACATCTCCTCGGATCCGCTCTCGGCGTCCGAGTCGTCTCGGCTGTCGTTTTCGTCTTCGCTTGGTGTCATCTCAGAACTAGTTTTTGACTTCACTTTCGATTTTGATCTAGAAGCATCAGACTTGTTGCGACTCATTTTGGACCCAGTTCTAGCTGCCGACGTTGACCTAGAAGCGTTCTTGGATCCTTTGATTGCCGATTGTTTGGATCCCGCCATTCGGCTTCCTGAACCCTTGCCTTGCTGGGAAGGGCCCTCGAGATTAGGCACGGAGGAGGTTGCCGAGGACGCAGAGGCGTCGTCTGATTGATTGTTTACGATTTGTATCACCAAAGCTATCTGAGCACAACAAAAAAAGTTACGATCATTTTGTTGCATGTAGCCTAACACAAAAATGTCGATTCTGAACTTTTTAAACTGCTTCTACGTTTTACGTAGAAATCAGCAGGATATCGAAAGATTCAGGTGGCTTTGTTAAGGTGACGAGGGTGTTGGGGATTGGCGAGCTGGGCGTGGGCGCGGTAAGGTAGACTTTTGGAAAAAAATCACCTGTCCCCCTTTCCATCTCTCATCACTTCATCCCCACCATAGTCAGTTCCCTCCCTTCATTTTCGCCTTCACCAAGCCCCATTTTGTAATAATTCACATTTTCGAACAAAAATTGGGAAAATTAGCTCATTATCTTTTCTTGCAATGTCGCGCCAAATTTCTTTGATTGCGCTAAGTTGCTCCAAAATTTTTTTGTCGCGCTAAGTTGCGAGTTATCTCTTTTGCGTCGCGCAAAGTAAAGCCGATATTTTCCAGTCGCGCAAAACTGCGTCTTATCTCCTTAGGTCGCGTAAGTTGAGACTTATCTCTTCTGGGTCGCAATGGTGGCCAATTGCGGATTTTGAGAACAAACACGAGCGAACAGTCAAACCGTCAACTTATATACTGCGACAAATCAGCATAAAAATACACTGCGCCGAAATGCTTATGAAATTTCGAAGCGTACTGATCTTCTACATGCGGATTGATTGCAGTGTACAAGTTGTTGCCTTGATTAAATTCAAATTCATAACCTAACTGGAAAAATGAATTTTTTGGAACAATGTAAAATTTGTGTTACTTACTTTTCTAGCCATGTCTTCATTGAGAGCGTGCAGCTGATCCAGCTGACTGACTGTGAAGTCATTGTGCTTCATATATATCCTCAACATCATCCTGGCTAGTTCTAGTTTATCCCAGGCAGTCGCGTGGTCTATCTGCTGGTCGCCCTCTACCTCCCCCGATTGGCCAGTGCCGTCACTGCGCCTGGGTGTGCGAGGAGTACGCGGTGTTGCAACTAGGGGAGCTTGCATGATTTTCTAGATCAAAAATTAATGATTCGATAGTTGAATAGAATTTATGGCTATTCTACAAGAGAACATTTATCCCTTCAAGAGAATCCTCTACAAGAGAAAAAAATTCAATTCAATTACTATACACTAGGGGCCCAGCTGAAAGCTGGAGAGACCTGTTTGATTATTTTAATATTGATTATTTTAAAATTGTTTTAAAATTTCAGGTTTCTCAAGTCGATAGCGCCCTTCCTACGCAAAAAAAGTGAAAGAGAAGCTTATGCATTCATTGGTAACGTTTTCGGAACCATACAACTTTTTAAGTTCCCTATTTAGAAGGATAGCCCGCGGCCGATAGACGTCGTTCTGGCGGGGGAGGAGAGATCATACAAAAAATCGTCCTCCCCCTTGTTCTAATACACCTTTGAGGACTAGAATTGAAGTATATAAATGATTAAAGTGAGAGATACAGATTTTTAATGATACCTCTGAATTGATCTATGAGCGCATCAGGTGACATTTTCAATACATCATTGCTTCCACACAAGATGACAATGGTGTCGTACTGATCGATTGGCGCATGTTTTAAGTGATTTATGACCTCCCATTAAACGGGCCTTTCACAGTGCGACAAGGCAAACCGTATCAATCATGGTTACATGCTAAATATATTTAAAATAAAATCATATGCACAATGCTTCAACAATGTGAATAATTATTCACTAGAATTAAGTGAAATGTGTGTTTCACAAACCAGCTAACATTAATGAAATAAAGTAATTTTCATTTTTCTAACGACTCTTTAATTTTCGAATTAATTAAATTTTGTCCAAGCATTGCAAATATGACTATAATATGTTGACTATAACTGACATCACAAAAACGTTCTGGAACAAACCGACCTGATTAAAGAGAACTAGCGTAACTCGTTCAACTTCTCGTTGGACTTCTTCAAACCATACAAAAAAACTCAACAGAAAGCCAATAGCACCAAGCAAAAGCGAGAAAACGTAAGCATAGCGGATTCCGTTGTCTAAAAAATACACACAATAAGTATATTGAATCTTTATTCCAATGCCAAAAAACTTTTAAAAAAAAATTTTCCTAAGTGTACAGCTCTTCCCCGAGACAAATTAAGGACCAGCCGCTTGGGCAGGGGAGTTTCCTACAACCTGGTCTATCGATTAAACCCTTAATCCTAAATCTGGATGGGTAGTTTTTGAGGAAATCGACAATTTCCGAAAAAAAGGCCAAAAAAGTCAAAAAAGAGACTTTTCTTAAGTCTATAGCTCTTCCCCTAGGCAAGTTAAGGACCAGCCGCTTGTGCGGGGGAGTTTCCTACAACCTGGTTTATCGATTAAACCCTTAATTTCAAACCTGGATGGGTAGTTTTTGAGGAAATCGATAATTTCCAAAAAAAATAGGCAAAAAAATAAAAAAAGTGACTTTTCCTAAGTCTATAGCTCTTCCCCTAAGCAAATTAGGGACCAGCCGCTTGGGCAGGGGAGTTTCCTACAACCTGGTTTATCGATTAAACCCTTAATCTCAAATCTGGATGGGTAGTTTTTGAAGAAATCGAAAAAGTTTGAAAAAATGGCCTAAAAACCGAAAAATTGACTATTCCCAAGTGTATAGCTCTTCCCCTAGACAAATTAGGGACAAGCCGTTTGTGTAGGGGGGGGGGTTCCTACAACCTGGTCTATCGATTAAACCCTTAATCCCAAATCTGGACGGGTAGTTTTTGAGGAAATCGGAAAGATTTGAAAAAAGGCCAAAAAAGTCAAAAAAGTGACTTTTCCTAAGTCTATAGCTCTTCCCCTAGGCAAGTTAAGGACCAGCCGCTTGTGCGGGGGAGTTTCCTACAACCTGTTTTATCGATTTAACCCTTAATTCCAAATCTGGATGGGTAGTTTTTGAGGAAATCGATAATTTCCGAAAAAATAGGCAAAAAAATCAAAAAAGTGACTTTTCCTAAGTCTATAGCTCTTCCCCTAAGCAAATTAGGGACCAGCCGCTTGTGCATGGGAGTTTCCTACAACCTGGTCTATCGATTAAACCCTTAATCCCAAATCTGGACGGGTCGTTTTTGAGGAAATCGAAAATTTCCGAAAAAATGGGCAAAAAGTGAAAAAAGTACCGAGTTGTGAAGCTTTTCTAAGACCGTAGGGGGTGGGGTAGGGTAAAAATTGCCCTAAATTTTATGCAGGCAGGTAGGTGAAACGCTACTGAATCCATTGGTACCACTTTTATGAGAATTTGACGGGTAGTTTTTTGGGAAAAAAAAAACCAGATCTCATCTGGAAAAAAAAAACGTTTTCATAATACCTGTTTAATAAATCAAACAGGAACAAGAAAAATATTTCATCTGAAAATCCAAAAAAATAGGTTGTTATTACTCTTTTGAAAAAAATATCAATCAATTTTTTTGTTGAATACTTTCTTTTTTCATTCTTTTAGTTGCCGAGAAATTCCGGACATCAAGTCTATAAATAGTCTTATTTGAAATATATTTTCGACATTGGTCGCATTCGATTCATTAGCAGACAAATCACTCTTTATAACTACACTTATGAAAATAAATAGTGAACTTAGAACTTACTGAAGTTTCGTCTTCGCTGCCACGCCTCTTTTTGCTCTTCGAGTCCCTCTTGCCTCCTCCAGCCCCACTCTCGTCCCCCTCTGACCCCTCCTCCTCCCCCTCCTCTCCTTCTTCCATTCCCTCTTCATCCAGAAGGACACAGTTCCTCTTCTGTCTCAAGTAGGCGTTCTCAAATGCCAGCGCTGTTTTGTCAGTCACTTGAGGGGCCTAATTGGGAAATGTTTTTAACAGCGGCCTTATGAAGTTTTTGACTGCGTTGGAGCAATATTTGTTCGATAAAAATTTGTGACGGAATCTTTGGCTTTCATTTCAGTAAGAAAGAAAAAAACTCGGCTGCCTCTTGATTTTTAAATTTATTGTTTTAAAAATTTATTTAAAGTTTAAATTTCAATCAGAAACTAAATTGATGAAACTTCTCCGAGTTATTTTTTGTGTTGTGCCACCAAGGATTTTACTCGCCTCTCACGGAGGAGTGAGAGAGCGTGACGAGTCACCGAGTATCTTACCCACCTCCCCCTTGCCGAACTCCTTGTCGATTATCTTCTGCAACTCCTTCCTGTCCAACTGCACCCCTTCCATATCTTTACCGCCTGCTCCCCCTCCTTTGGTGTCCCTGGATGCCCTGGATTTAGATTTGGACTGGCGTGATTTGTTCGCTTTGGCCTCCAGTGCCTGGTACACTTTATTCAGAACTGCTTTCGCTTTTTTCATCTCTTTGCGCTTAGCACCTAAAATTAATGTTGAGTGTTATGAAGACAGTTTATTCATTGGGCATCACTTTATTAGAGCTATATTGCGTATTTATATGCTGTTCTGGGCATGGCCTGATCTAAAATTTTTACGAGTCGTGGAGGGTTTTTTATAGTAATATCAAACATTGTTTATTTTGTACATCTACCATTTCTAAAGCTTTCCTTAAACAAACGTCAAGTATACGCAATTTTGGCAAAAAGATATATGTACCGAAATCAAATTTTGTGAACTGAAATTGAGCCCAGAACACTGATTTTGGGCACTTATTGGAAGGTTTTGAGCACGGAGGATTTAGAATTTTCTCGAGGGCAGGCTTGATGGGGGACGGAGTAGGGGATTTTGGGAGTTTGAAAAATTCTATAACAGGCCTCTTTAAACCTTTTTTGATTAAAATAAAGAGGGCAAAATACCGTTTCTGTGCTTATTTACGGAAAGTTTTTAAACGTTTTTGACCAAAAACAACCGCTTCAAAATTCGCGTGAACCCCCTTAGAACATTTTTACGGTAATTCGGCCGAATGTTTTAATGTCTTAATATAGTGCCAAAGGAGCACCAACCCTTTAGGTGGTGAGATGGTCAATTTTCTGAAAATTTCGTTCCTTTAGAAAAACTCTAGGGTCGGTCAGCATAAAATGGATAGCATCAAATATTATCAAAAAGGGACTTTTTGGGTTTTTTGGGTGGTGCGAGAGTCGATCTCCTCTATATCTGCCCCTGCATGTAGCAGATAATGCATACCTGAGGGTGACAGCCATTCCGGATGTCCATTATCTTGTTGGTTTTGAGGTTGTTGATTGTAATTGTTGTTCACACTCTGTGGTGCACCTCCTTTGTTGGCTTGACTACTCGCCCTCGAGAAACTCTGCATGGCTGTGACCATGTCCTCTTCTTGCGACACACTCGGCTGTTTTCGGCTATCGTTTTTGTTGAAAGTGGCTGAAACAGATTGGTTTATTGGAGCTTGGAGCTCACAGCTTCTTTTTTGAAACAAAATGCGCCTTTTTTGTTGTTTTCTGCTGTCTGAGAACCATTTGACTGCACTTGGCTAAAATCTTAAAAATCAGTATAATAAATGAAAGACGAAAAAATACAAACGCAGTGAAGGTTTGGAAATACATATAAATTTAGGGTCTCAAAGGCAGTTTTGCCAAGCTTTTTCTGTGGCATGATTTTAAATTTTGTCTTTACTGATTTCAATTTGTACCACATTTGAGCGTCTGTGAGCTTCTGCGACAACAAGTTCGTACCGTAAGACGGTGGGCGCGATTGTGACCCCTGACCTTGGCCTTGACCGCCGGTTGACCTGTGCGGGTGCAGCCTATTGGGATCATTGCCCTGTTGCTGTTGGTCATCACTGTCTTGGGGCACTGAGACAAGTTGCGACTCTCGCACGTCCTCCGCATCCTCCTGGGTGACAGCATCAGCATCGGCAGGTTCAGTTTCCCCATCAGCTGACTGTGCCTCGCCACCTGCAGAAGATGAAGACTTTCATCCACAAAAAACACAAAGATAGCCGGTTGCTGTGCAAGTAGCACAATTTTTTGACAATTGTGATTTTTATAACGATGAAACTTAAAGTAAGAAATGTTTCGGATTTTTTTTTGGATTTGGAGTTTGTTGTTGTTAAATGATATTTATATATAGTTGGTGAATTGCTTACCAGAGCCAATAAAAAAGCTGCAATATAAAAATGCAAGAAAAAGTAAATGGAAATTCAATCTGAAATTTTTAGTCTAAAAGTTTGTCCGAAAATTTAAAACATCACCTGACATGTGGAAAAGAGTAACGAACGCAAAGAAACAGAAAAAAAACTGAAATATTTTTTGAAAAATCTTCAACTTTTGTATAAAAATAGATTGCCTTAAAGCTCTTTAAATTTATAAAACATTGTGTGATGGCACTTTTTTGCTAAAATTAACCTAATTTGAGAAATTCATCACTAAGAAATTTTTTTTCGCTAGAAAATCTGATAATTAAATTCCATTTATGAAATTAGAAAACGATCACGTTTTTCGTGACTTTTATACTTTGCTGTTTGCTAGTGGACACTAGTGGACACTACTTTCATAAACGGATACTACATTTTAGTTCCTTCCCATTTTTCGAGAGTGCTCGGAACAATACGCTAGTCAAATAAAGGTTAAAATTATGGCCACACGAAAGGTTAAAAATATGACATCAAAAATTGTTATCCTGCAAGGTTTTTCCTACAAAATTGTGCATTGAAGTTAAATTTTATGCATTATTATAAGTTGATTATGGCATCAACTGTCTGTTGAACCTAAAGAAAATCAAAATTCTAGGTTGGGAAATGTTGGTCCACTTCAAGTAACAAGTGATCTCAAATAACATGACATCAGTTGTATCAAGATTTCTGGCGTTTTAAAAGCTGTTGCACCAAATAATATATCGAATTCATCTCAAGTAAGGTTTGATAGGAATGAAAATTAATTATCAAATTTTACTTGGGAATTTGACAGTATTTATTTTAAAAAAAAGCTTTGTTGAATATATAAAGGGCTTTCCGTTGAACTGCTTTTACTTTATTTGACTTTCGGAAAAAAGATCTCGACTATTTCCCCTCATTTTCAAAACGATATTTAAGCCCAAATGATAAAATGTTACTTTGTTGTAGCTAATTCTAAATTAAAACTATTAAAAAGAATAAGGAATTAAGATTAATTAGTCGGTGGGTTAAAACATTAAAACTATGAAAGATCATTCTCTCCGCCGGAGAGAATGGCCAATGAAGGTCATATCAGAGTGACCAGTTAATTAAACTAATATGTTTCGCAGTAATTGCAAAACATGATGTAAATCACAACATTCCCCTAAGCAGGAAAACATTTTTAAATTACGAATAAAATAAAGCACCATGACTAACTAAGTCTGACTCCTTTCTCCCCCTTTAAGGACGAGGAAAAGAAAAAGTTTAAGCGCCGTAAATAAGGAACTGACACTAACTGAAGCGCCCCTATGGGATTAAATACAGCAACTATAACTGTGAGAATGATTATCCGGATTCCGACGGATAAGGGCTGGGTTAAGAAGTTAGAATGCGATGAAGTTGTCACCAAGTTTTATGGGTGGAGCATTGATTTGCGATACACAAACTAGAGGGAAGTCGACTTAGAGAAATTTTAAGAGCACCAGATGATGTTTTCCTTTACTGATGATTTATCCGAAGGATTTTTGATGAAGTACTCAAGTTTACTGATCAACATTTTGATACCTGAAGATTAGCACCGGTTTATAGGGTAATATGTGCTCCTTGATATGCCAATATAACAGATTAGGGTAAAGCTAAATGTTTATAAAGTTTTATAATCATTTAGAAAGTTTTCAAGTTCAGTGTTAAAAAGTTCGCTGTCTAGATCAGAATGATCTCCAAAATTTTCTACTTCCATCCTCAGCGATTCGTCAGTTGATGAGATTGACATTTGGTCTGAAGATGTTGGATTTGAGTCTAGGACAATTAACTCCGCCGGAGTCGTCTTGTTGTTGGTCTCGTGTGATTCCTCAATTTCTATCACGATAGGATCGGCCGCAGAACCGGAGGCTTCTTGAACGTTCTCTACGGCATCAATAAAATAACGTTTGCCATAAAATTTTGGTGGGCCGACATTTCTACTAGAACGGCGGATGGTAGGAGGAATTTTACCGGATATGATGGTAGGATTGGGAGGTGTAGCACACTCGTCAGTTGAGTCGCTTATCTCGTACACCGGAAAATCTGTAACTGAGTTGTTATCCGTTGGATTACATTCGTCTTGCAGGTCCTGTTGTTCGATGGTGTCTTTGTCCTCTCCCTGGTTCACGGTTCTCTGTTCCGCAGTACTAGGTGTTCGGCAAGCGGGTATTATGCTTATTGGGCACTCGTAAGATTGGTCCATAGATTGTTCTCTGTTAGGGTCAATGTCGTTTTCTAAAATCTCAGATTTTATTTCAGGATTTGTTACAGCGGAATTAGAATTATTTCCGATTGAGAGGTGAGGTGTATTTGAGTCTGAAATAAAGCGTTCTCTGGCTACGTCTCTACAAGGGAAACCGCCCGCTATCCATTCCCATTCACTAGTATCCGAAATATCCGAAGGAATTAGCATAGATTCATCCGAAGCAAGGTAACCTGGAGGAGTTGATGACTTCTTTGAGTGGCGTGTTTGTCTTCTTGTAGATTTGTGTGATGACCCTGATATGCGTGTCCTAGTTAAGTTGTCGGATGGGGTCGGATCCAATTGTCTGGTCATTTTTTTGGTTGGCATTTTTGATCTTGGTTTCCGTGTTGGGCCTTCCTGTTTCTGACCTACTTCAACATTAGCAATAGGAAAATACGGGAATGAAATGTTTCCTTTAAAAGGTCTGATTTTATTTGAGGTAGAAATAGGAATCGCAATGTCGGATTTTCGTATTATTTTTCCGTCGGATAACTCTACTGTCGAAGTGGATGAATTTATAATTCTTTTATTTAGTTCCTTATAGAAACAGTCTCGGTTTATGTTACCGTTAGATTTCCGAAGGATTTTACCTTTGAATGGACTTTTGATTGGTAGTCTATTGGAGGTGATTTTCGAGGATGAAGCATAGTCTGTGTCGTAGCCTTTTTCAGTCGAGCTTTGGTTCTTCTTGGCTATCAAATCGTCCTTGTAGCCGTCCTCTAGTCTATCATCCGCGTTCCAATCTTTAGCTCGTTCCTTAGACAGTATTGATTTCTCTTTGTCTAAAATTCCAAAGGAGGGTTTACCAGAAGCTATTTTTTTCCAAATAGTATTTGGTTTTCTGTTATAGTGAATCTCGAAGGGTGAACATTTAATTTTTGATTGATAGGTAGAGCGTAAATTCCAGATGATTTTTGAAACGGCATTTTGCAGTGTACATTTATGATTTTCTTTTGAAATAGCCAGTAGTTTGACTTTCACAGTGTGTACTAATTTTTCGACTAATCCGCTGGAACGATGGTCGCCAACTGTACAAAAGATTATTTTGATGTTGTTGGAATCACAGAATAATTTAATGTCTTGGCTTGAAAAGCAAGTAGCATGATCTACCCTTATAGAATAAGGTATTCCGTGTAAGAATATGTAGTCTTGTAAAAATTCCTTTAACTGTTTTTGAAGAAGTAGACGATGTAGTTTTTGCCGACGGAAATTTAGAAAATCTGTCAATGCAAAGTAAAATGTATTTATTTGACCCCCAATAAGAATCCAAAGGACCAGCGAAATCTAAATTAAGTTCTTCGTTTGGTTCCGATAATGGAGGAAGTTCACTAATTTGTGAATTAGGGATAACAGTTTTCAAAATCTTACCCGCCGATGTACACTCTGAGCAATTTATTCCGTGAAAGTAAATTTGTCTGTTAATATGGGGCCACCAGATGTATTGGGCCAAATATTTCATTCCTAATTGACCTGGATGTGTTTCGTGAAGGGTCTTCATCATCGCGTTTCGTAAAGTAAATGGAATAACGAGTTTGCCGTCCATGTAGAGTAATCCGTCGGATTCGTGTAGGTCGCGGGTGAAATGTTTGAAATACGGAGAATCTGCATTAATCTTCTCCACCTTATTTTGAAGTGCTTTAACAATTGGACTATACATGGGATCGTCTTCAGTCAAGAGAGCTACTAACTTGGCGTTATATAAAATATTTAAATCCAAGGGTCGATCCGGCAACTTCAAATTTTCACGGTTTTTTTCTTTAACGAGATTAGCATGATCTGGTAAGAGCTGGAAGTCTAAATCTACAGAAATACCGGAAGTGGTGGGATTAATTACAATATTCTTATTATTAATATTAACAGTATCTACAATTTTTTTATCTACAGTTGAATTAATAAAACTACGGTTAAAGATTAAAAAATAAAGAAATGCGGAGTTAGAAATGGAAATAATTAATGTATTTGTATTAGAATAATCCATTGGAATGCAATTTGAGGTACAAAATTCTGTTCTTTTGTGATTAAATGAACAAATTGGAAAAGAGGAGTTAATAAGTTTTAGTACTGCTGCTATTAGGTAATTACGTAAAAAAGCGTAATCGGAATTTTCCAGATTAGAACCAATGGCTGAGCAGGTAGTTCTTATTTTCTCCGACGGATTTAATGATTTATTAATCTTGTTAATATTTGCTACTACGAATTCCTCGTCGTAATGTGACATTGGAAGAGCTTTTCCGGATGGAATTCTAGAAATAAGGTCAGTGAAACCCATATCTTTTCCTGCCATATGTTTGATTGTGAAATTAAAAGGTAATAATCTGTCTATCCATCTTGTTAATCTACTGTGGTAGGTTTTGTTTCCGTGGTTTGGTGATAGGGCAGATTATATAGCTTTGTGATTGGTAATTACTTCGAAATCTGATCCGTAAAGGTAGTTCTTATAATGTTTGACAGCCCATACAACCCCTAGTAGTTCGAGCTCGTTCGTAGAATATTTAGACTCATGTGGGTTTAAAAAGCGTGAAGCAAATGAGATTGTTTTCCAATTGTTCCCGTGGAATTGTTTGAGCGAAGCTCCGAGTCCATTATGTGACGCGTCAGTTTTTACTCTAGTTTTGCGTTTTACGTCAAAATGGGTATTCTCCGTTAGGTTTACGATTTCTTCTTTAATTTTTTCAAAAGCTTTAGTATGGTCGTCATTCCATTGGAATATTGATTTTTTATTTAGGAGCAGTCGGAGTGGGCTTCCTAAGGATGCTAAATTTGGGACGAATTTAATGTATTGGTTTGTAGAACCAAAAAATGATCGTAGTTCTTTCAAATTCTTTGGAATAGGTAAATCTTTTATGGCTTTCGATTTGTCGAATAACGGGGTAATTCCTGATTTAGAGATTTTGAATCCCAACCATTCTATTTCTTTTTGAAAGAATTTACATTTTGACCATTTTACAGCGAAGTTATATTCGTCGAGGGTAGATAAAATTTTTAACACAATATTCTTGTGGTCTAAGAATGTTCCTTTGGAAGAGATTAAAATGTCGTCTAAGTAACAGTTAGTAAATGGGATTGAACCTAACGTAGAGTCCATTACTCTTTGAAATTCGTTAGGCGTATCCCCTAGGCCGTAAAAAGCAGTTAAGAATTGTTAGGTACCCGTAATATCACCGCCCACGATACTGAAGTTACATTGGTTGCTAGTAAATTTATCTAGTGCTAATTGGCTGTACGCGTTTTTTAAGTCTAAGTTAGTAAACCACACTTCTCCAACGGAATCATTAGTAATTTGCGCCGCGACATTGTCTACCAATTCGTGAATGTTTGGCATTTGATATTTGTTCTTGTAAATCTGTTTGTTTATGAACTTGGAATCTAAGGCTAACTTGATGGATTTGTCTTTTTTACAAGTAATGACTATTGGGCTAATAAATATGTCTTCATCGCAATTTTCTAATTTTTTAATATGTCTCTCTGCTTTAAGTCTATTGATTTCTGTCTTTACAGCGTCCAGTAAGTGAAGGGGGACTCGTCTTCCCTTTAGTTGTATTGGTTTTAAGGGTTCGTGAAAATGGGTGATTTTCATCTGATTTTTAATTTTTCCGATCCGAAGGAATAAATTTTTGAATGATTTTGATATATTTAGAATTTCCCTATCTTGGTTTGTTTGAGAGATGGAATTTATTGACTTACACTGCTTGTTAGTCTGGAAATGTGGGAAGTGTTTCTGAGAGACTTCTATCCCCACTTTTGGAAGGTTGTCATTTCCTAAGATATTTCTCTCGTGTCCTTCGGTTAGGAAGAATTGACAGTCGTTGTCTGACCAACCATTTGAAAATATCGGGAGCTTTACCTTTCCAGTGATGTTTATGGCATTATCTGTGAATCCACAGTAGAGGTCTCTAGTTGTCTTATCCACCGGATAAATTTTCAAATAAGGGTCGCGTAACTTTAATTCGTGTAGTACGTTTTTTTTAAGGAAGCTCACCGGGCTAGCTGAATCCACTTGAATGTTTAAAATTACTTGGTTTTCTTTTCCGAGTCCAATGTTCAGTAATTTCTTCAATTCTTTTCCATCGTTATCAAAAATCGTAGTTACATTTAGTACAGAGTAATCGTCGTTTTCGCTTTGTCCAGATTCCGACCATGCGTTTATGACGCCACAACATTCTCTATCCGTGTGGCCAGTATATACATCCGGAATATTCGACGGATTAAAATCTGTATTATCTACAATTTGAGTATTTACAATGTTTACATTTTTACGACGAGATCTACAAAGTCTGGTGAAATGCCCTTTGAATTTACAAGTAGTACAAGTCGTGTCCTTTGCTGGGCAAACTGCTAAGTGTCCTTTTGAAAATGATCCGCCACACTTCATACAGTTGTTACTTCATTCGATATTAAGAGTTGGTTCTCTTTTGACGTTAAAATGGTTGTTTGGTTTATGTACGGATGATCCGTTGGATTTAAAATTGTTAGTTAACTTCAAGTGATTTAGAATTCCTTTTTTGTCTATGAGTGCTACATTAAGTGCTTCGCGTGGAGGGAGGGTTTCTGTTAACAATTTCCTTTGGATGTCGTAGTTTTTCATATTATTTATGAAAATATCTCTTATCCACTCTTCTTCTCCTGCGGTTATGTCGCACTTTTTTGCCATTTCAGCTAAAGCACCCCAAAATTGTTCGAGGGATTCTCTGTCGCGTTGTTTTCTATTTAACAGTTTATGTCGTTCAAATGTGACATTTGTCTTTCTTACGAAAGCGATCGCTAGGAACTCCCAGAATTCTTTAAACGAAATTTGTAAAACTTTCACCTTGGTGAATTTTTGTCCGAAGATCCTTTTTCCTTCGTTTCCCAGTGCTAGATATAAGACTGAACGTAATTTTTGTCGGCTTCTTCTATTCGCATTCCGTTAAATTTCTTGGTTTCAGTTTTTATCGAAGCTGTTTCTTCTTCGTCGTATCGTCTTTGTTCTTGAGTATTTCTCTCCATTCTCGAGCGTCTTTGAGCATCTGTTTCACCGTCCGTTGAGTTTTCCAAATTTGGAGGTAGTGGGTGTTGTCTCTCCAACGGATTGAGTAGATTTTCTATGTCTATGTTTTCCTTAGCAATTATAGCTAATTGAAATAGATCACTCCAGTCTTCCCATGGAATGGGGGGTCTACAGTATGGTTTTGCCAAAAAGGAGGTATTCCTCTCACGTTAGATTCGTTAGTTGACTGCGCCATGATAAAATGTTACTTTGTTGTAGCTAATTCTAAATTAAAACTATTAAAAAGAATAAGGAATTAAGATGAATTAGTCGGTAAGTTAAAACATTAAAACTATGAGAGATCATTCTCTCCGCCGGAGAGAATGGCCAATGAAGGTCATATCAGAGTGACCAGTTAATTAAACTAATATGTTTTGCAGTAATTGCAAAACATGATGTAAATCACAACACCAAAAAAGTCAGCAAAAAAATGCATGTAATTCTGAAGCAGCGGCACAACCACAGCGGTTCTTCGTGATGAATTGTACACCCTGTACATTGTTCCTCTCAATTGTGGATAAGTCGTCTTAATGAAATAAGTAACAAAATTCGTATGTGCTTATACGTGTAGTTAGTCATCTATAGGGATGAAAAATCTTTAATGGGGTACAATGTAGCAGAGGCGGATTTCAGAGAAGGGCGTGGGGGTCGTACGCCCCCTCAGGGATTCGACGCGCTCGTTTTGCTATAATTTTATGACATCATATTTTGGCTGACCAAACCTAAAACTTTTCTAAAGGCGCCATTATGGAACCTGATCTAAACTATATTTTATGATTGGATAAATTAAATGTTTTACCAATGTAAAGTATTTAATATTAACCAATCATGATCCATCTAACTAACAACCCACTTATTTGTAAGTGCTGAAGTTACTTGTAATTTCAGCACCAGAGAGATTTGAATTTAACTTAGAAATTAGTTGGACTCTCCCGAGCACTTCAGCAGCCGCAATAAACCAGTATACCCTAGATCTATTGAGCCTAGCAGAGACTAGTTAAACAACCTGAGACTAGATAGTATAAGAGTAAGATTAGGATCGGTATTAGACTAAGAAGTTGCACGAATCTATCCGGCCGAAAATAAGATAGCGTGACGAGCAGACGGTGTACCCTATCCGAAATTACTCTATGAGTTATACACCCCAGTCCTAACTCATCTGGTGCGACCATAAGTCTCGAACAAGACCTTACTAGATTAGAATTAACCAAAATTAGATTAGAAATTAGACAAAAACATTTACAAAATGTTATACGACAATAATTTAATTGAAATGTCTCTCCGACTCAATAGATCAGAGCCAATATTCCGAACCATAATAGAACTACCCGGAATTGGAAGAAGACATCGAACCAAAGACGACATACGACAAAGTAGAAACTTGCCGTATAGTTATATGATAGTTCGGCAAAAGCCAGAACAAACTTTTATATTTCGAATACTACTTGCAATGAATTTAGATTTCCATTTGCAAACATAAAACCTTGAAGTAAATCTTCAAAATCATTTCAGGCGCTAAACAAATTAATATTATACAATAACGATTGATAAAAAGATCTAAGATCGTTTTCCTAAAATTCTGCAGTATTATACAAAACATGTTTGAAGAATATTTATTGGAAAATAAAAAT